GCATTGCTCCTTTTATGTGATCCACAAAATTGCTGCCACCCAGTCTTCGAAGATGAGATTTCTGCAAATTCCATTAAAATAATCTTATTTCATAATTAAATGTTCCTTACATTAAAATTACTTCTTTTGTATGTAAGATTTTAACCTTTAAGAGACATGAATTATCATATCCCTTCCAAACAAGTGTAAGAATGAAAGTCTGTGGGTGCAGTTTTGTTAATTGTCCCATCAAAGAATCATTAGTGAAGTTACACTTTTGTAAATAAATAAAAGTTGAAATAAATTATATATATAATTTCATCCTTAACAAAGACTTTCACAAGACATTTTAAAGTGAAAATTTTCGTTGCATTTCCTTACGCCATTCTCCACCACCCCTCCCCAAATAATATACATATGTTGACAGGGTTCAGGGCGTGCTCAATGCATCATTTACTGATAGATCTATTCAAACGAACAAATGTTCATAATAATGGGATGCAAAATAAAATGTTGATTAATCCTATCCAATTTTTGTATAGCTGCCCTTAGGGACCGTTCATAATGTATGGCTTTGGGGTGATGTTGATTTTTATGTACAATGTGAATTACACCCCACCCCACCCCCACCCCTAAAGTGTATGAGTATGTACAGAATAAGAGACGGCCCACCCTGCATGTCATGTACATTATCTATGACGCCCTCTCCCCTTCCCATAATTTCTAAACATAGATGCTGTGCAAAAATGCTGACCCCTTTAGCTCCCTGAACAAAATGGGTGACACCCCACCCCACCCTCCAACCCTTACAATCAACACCCCACCAAGCAGCCATATATTTAATTATGAACGGTTCCTTATTGATGTACTTCATTGATTATTTGAAAATGTATATTTGCAAAATTCAAATCAGATGATGGGTATGAAAGGAAATCTTATTCGATTATATAATAAAATGCCAAATATATGCATGCAAATATATTGAAAAATAACAAAACAAGTTCATGGAAAACACGGGCTTCCACTGAATTTTGAGAAACATGTACTGTGACAGAACCGGTAACCTTGTGAGATAAAACATGAGCCCTAATTCGGAGTTTCTTGCTACTGCTAGATTTAAACGGCATTCCCACTACGTTTTCATTATACATGAAGGACATACTTACCAAATAAACACCAGCATGCCGTGAAGATGGTGAAAATAGAACGATATTGCGTTGAACTTAGCCAAAGTGAACTGACAATCATCAGTTGCCTTTGCGCTGTGCCGATAATTGTGCGCATGTCCGGATATGGCCAAACGAGGGCGATCGAAGGTCAAACATCTGGCTTATGTTTGAAAGCAAATTGTCGGGAAATTATACAATGTTCACAGTTTTGTGGGAAATATCAAATGTAATGCAATTTGGATAACTGATGACTTTATACCTAAAACTGCGCATTTACGTAATATTTCTGTCCGTTGATCGATGCACAATCAAATAATATATGAGATTATATCTGTCACTAGCTCGATCTTGATCTTTTATGAAAATAATGTTCAAAATGATAGTTGCTAAGTTGGATACCTATACAGCTGTGCAACGCTGATTCAACGCTGTTCAATGTTGTGTGCGTCATCTCTGTGCAGCAGCTCAAAAGTTTGTTGAGAACCTGTTAACGCCGTGCATCTTGCTTTTCGCGCTGTTCCTTTAGTTGCCAATGCGCCCTTGTAAGAAACTGGGAAAACGCACAAATAAATGATGACACTCTCTTAAACAACTTTTTTATTTTTGTGACAAAAATTATGCAATTTGTTTCTAGAGTTGGTCTGTTGTTTTTATTGCACTCCGCGTTGGTTTGATTCTTTTATGTCTATTTGTTTTTGTGTTAGATTGCAATTCATCGGTATCATTTTGTCTCAAACGGACTGTAGAATACACTAGAATATTGCTGAGTGCAGTGTTAAACAACAATGATGTGAGAACCTAGATACATAAACTGTTGTACCTACCAGTACTCTACCCAACTCCAACATCATCCTATTATCTGCTGCATAATGTAGGCATCTAGATATGAAACCAGTTTTCCCCAGTCTACCCAACTGTAAGATCATCCAGGGCGTTGGGGTAGCCAAGTGGTTGGTTAAAGGATTCGCTCGTCATGCTGAAGACCTGGGTTCAATTCCCCACATAGACGCACAATGTGAAGCCAATTTCTATCTGGTGTCCCTTGACGTGATATTACTGGAATATTGCTAAAAGCGGCGTAAAACTAAACTCATCCTAAGATCATCCTATTTACTGTCGCATATCACAGGAAAATAGATGTGTAACCAGTTTTAGCCACTCTGTCCAGCACTAAGATCATCCTGAAGTGATGTCATGTAGTTATAACTAGACAAACATCCTGGCCAGTCCCACTGGGACTGGGAATCGTACATTCAGTGTTTATATTGGTCTCAATTCAAGAGGTCGTATTACACACTCAGTTTGAATTGTTGCCATGGTGATGTCTCCGGAGACCTAGATTTATCTGAATTCTGCTCAACTTGATTATGTGTGTTAGTCAGCATCTCACCTCAGAAGATCCGGGTTAGAATATTGATCTTCAGTTACCATGCTTATCGTAAGAGGTGACGAACAGGATCAGGTGGTCAGGCTCGCTGTATCCCTATTGCGTAGATTGATGCTCATGTTCTTGATCACTGGATTGTCTGTTCGAGACTCGATTATTTACAGACCACCACTATATAGCTGGAATATTGCTGTGTGTGACAGTAACACTCACTCACTAGTCAACATCTCATGGTAATGAGGCATTGCCAATTCTCTTACTGACCAGTGTTACAAGTTGATTCACACGAAGCTAAAACATTAACTGGGGATCAGTCCGTATCAGAACCAGATGTCGAACCACCACACAACAAAACATGTGATGTAATAAACAATTGTATTCTAAAATTGACTAAGTTCACAAGTCGAGACAAATCAGGTAAGGTATCACAATTAAGGGTGAATCAGTATACTGCAGTATTAGTAGAACCACAGTATTTTGCCCTCGGTTCGGTATACTGTAATGCATTCCAAACATTCTATCATTTCTATCTAGTCAAAAAATGACAGTTTTGTTCATTCAAAATAACAAAGATTAAAGTTGTTGTTTTTTTCAAGTTATTAAACAATGTAAGGATTGGCTCTTGTCAATTTTCTGCATTATAATCATATCTTATATATACTGAACCCAAACGGACCAAACCGAGGGTCTTGTACTGCAATACGTACAATACAGTTTCACCCCTAATCACAATGTCAGCATGAAATAGAATGGAGTGGCAGTACAGATCAAAAGGTAATATTATGCAAGAGCATAATAGCAACAGTATAGCAATAGTATAAGGGTAATGATATTTTGAGGGCATTATCATATGCAGAAGCCCTAGGTCTTCCATTAACTGCCCGACAAAGGAGAGCAGTTGAAAAAGCCCAAGGGCTTCTGCAAATGATAATGCCTTTCTGCCAGTCCAGAATTTCTGCCAGTCCAAAGCCAAAGTCGAATGAACCGTAAGCCAACGCACCCGCTATGACGTCACTTGACAACAGAACTGATAGTGGCCCGTCGTTAAGGTTGGGCGGTCTAATATCATTTGCAGCTGCCCGCAAATTTCTGATAATAGGAGGGCTGTTTCATGATAATTCCATGTGTTTTAGCTATAAACAATGATAATATTCCCTTCTCAGCAACAGTAATAGAACTTCCAAAATTACGTCAAGACAGAGTATTCTGGGTAAGGAGTGATCACACAAAATGTTGGTCTTCTTGTGGCTTGAGATGTAATGTGAGATGAGAAGCAAGAGTTAAGTCCCCTTATCTAACTTGGCTCTGCACTAAGGCAATAAGCTATTTGCAGCACTTTCCAAATCTTTCTTTATAAGTCTAATGCCAGTCTAAATATAGTACACCCCTGGTCCTAACTGTCAATCTTTGAACATTGTTATACAATATATAACACTGTCACACAACACCAGTCTGGTGCCCTTTGGCAACATACACTTTCAGACATGCATACTGCACACTGCATTCGATACACTGTAGACTGCATGTTATATACAGTATGTTGCACCTGATGTACTGTAGACTGCATGTGATGCATGGCAGATGGTGTGGATCACCGCCATTTTACACAGTCACAGACATGATTGTGTGGATCACTGCCATTTTACACAGTCACAGACATGATTATGTATATGGTTTAATATTTAATAAATGCGTTGCATTTTAGTGTTCATTTAGAATCGGTTCATGAATGTCATTAAACAAGCTGTTACCCTGCCCAGTAATGTACAAAGAGTTTTCAGGTTGGAGTCAGAATGATTATTATATGGGTATGTATATAGCGCATTAGTCCATCCCATCTACATGCATGCTCAAAGCGCTTTCTTTTTCCATCGATCAATGGATGTCAATCTCAACGGCACATCGTATTTTCAATCCCAACTCCCTTAGCATAAAACTCTTGCAGCCACTAGGCGCACCGAGTTAATGTGGCTTTTCCCCATCCTTACGAGGTACCCATTCACAGCTGTGTGGACTGGGACACATAGTCACAGTACTTTTTCCAAGTTTACTGCACATTGCTGTACCCGCAACTAGGTGTTTGCACGTATTCATGTGGCCACCATCTGGTCATATACCAATGGATTCGCGGGTTCTTTTAAGTGCACAGGGTTGTGTACTGTACACTAGGGGTTGTGACAACACTGAAAGAGACTGCACACAAAGTTGACTCCAAGGTTTTTACCTAGGCTGGATCCCACAACCTTAAACTTGCTGGATCACCACGCTGATGTGACTTAGTAGGTTGTCAGTGTTCAATTGGAGGATGGAAGTAATCAGATGACGTGGGAGGCTCCAGTTTATCTAGTCAATAGTCTATGTTCCTATGTCCTTGGTTACATTGTGACACCAGTCAGAGATGTGTTGTAAAATAGAGGATGTTGAGAGACTGTAGTTGACTTTATGTGCCAGTGATGTCATTTCAGGTTTCTTTCACACGGACAAGGTATCATGAATGTATCAACCGGAGCAAGTGGCAAGATCAAGTAAGTGTTTTGAGATATGTTGGAGAATATTGATAACATCCTGCATCAGGTATATCACAGCTGCCAGTGCCCAATATGAATGAACTTGTTCCAGGAATGCTCTCTTGCTTGAAAAAAACAGGGCAATCTCTCAGCTGATCCTAAAAATTCAATAAATGTATATGTTGGACTGACATCAGTGAGCATGAGATTTTTTCTCTGTCAATATGAAAACCACTGGGACAATATTTCATGCTTGCTTTTTAATAAAAAGTGAACATTGTTTCCATAACTGACCATTCTTTAGCCAGGGCCAAACAAGTTTCATTGATTAGTAGGTTCCAAAATTTCAAAACCTTAAAAAACACAAACAGCAAAAATGTTTCTTTGTCATAAAATATGTGTTAATTCTTAATATCCAGATTCTGAATATCACATTAGTTTGACCTCCTGCTTGTCAAAAGAAATAGATAATGTCAGCATTGTCAAACCTTGTTGTTGTTAACAATTGTGATGGGTTGCTCAACTGCAAGTACAACTTTATTTGTTAGTCATGATTGACCCGTAAAGATTCGGGTAAAGATTCGGGTTAGAATTGGTTGGTGGTCAGGCTCGCTGACTGAGTTGACACATCTCAGGGTATCCCAATTGTAACTCATGCTTTGTCACTGATAGATGAATAAAATATGTGACTAATGGTGGTCAGGCTTGACCTCCTGCTGACTGTCAGTTGTCAAACCTTGTTCAATTGGTATCCCAATACAACTTTATTTGTTAGTCATGATTGAGATCGATGCTCTCATGCTGTTGATCACTGATTATTTACAGACCACATCCATATCAGCTGGAATATTGCTTACAGACCACCGCGGTACAGCTGGAATATTGCTGAGTGCTAATACTACACTCCCTCACACACTCATGATTAACTGTCAAAAGCCAGACTTCATCATTGTACATAAATAACTCACTCATTTGTAAGATGAGAATAGCATCCTTATAAATCTGTTTCAAACTGACAATCTGATACAATGTGTCAGTGTAATAATTTGTGATGAAATTGTTTACTTCAGGTGATAAAGAATCTGTGTGTTGGGATGGCAGTAGTGGGCGTGGCATCAGCCTTCTTCACAGCCTACTGTCTACTAGATGGGGATGAGGATCTAACACTTGGAGAACGGATCACAAAGATGTTTCAGAGGGTGCTTATGTTTGATGATTAAACATAAACATGATTTGAATGTGAAAGAAAAGGCCAATGCTTACCAAAGTTTATCTGAAAAGATAATATAGTTGTATTATTTGTATTGTTTTATTATAAGTGTTAGTTATTATTATTTTATATTGTACTATGACATTGTTCTATTGTATTATTTTTACAACATGTGTGGGCGTGGATATATAACAATGTTGTTTTATTTCAGGCATCTTTATGGACAACAATGAAAGGTATCAGATGCTATCTTTATATTACAGACTAGTCTAGTCACCTCTACTAACATTTTACAATGTATATGGTTAAAATATGTGATTGTTACCATGGTCACGAGACTTGACCTACAGACAGTGTCGTTTACCCATTGTTTACACCATTGTCCAATGTATTTAGCAATAACAGACAGACATCTGTTCAGGATTGTTCCTCTAGTCCATGACTCACTTTTAACTCAGATAAGTCTAATGTATTTATCCGTCAATGTACATGTTATCTTTGAGTCATTATGAACCTAAAACCTGTATATGTTTTGGTTAATATGGAAGTATTAAACTCACAACTAACGAGTTCACGTTGTCATAACGTTATGCTTTTGTTGTTGCAACATTATTCTGTGGACTCCCATTTACATTGTCACAACGTTGTGGCCTGACATGATACGTCATTTTTACGTCGCCACAAGATTAAAGTTATTTGATAGTAATATATTTTACGTTGTCTAACGTTCTATTTAACGTAAATAGTTAATAGTTTTCCCAGTAGTGAACAGTACTTAAGAAACAAAGCAGAAATTCACTTCAATGTTTATTCGTCAATTTGCATTTTGGTTTGGTCGTGTATTTTCTGACACTGTAGCTGAATAGTGAAGAAAGAATCTCAAAGTGAAAAGTTTTACAGAAAGCTATTGTGACACCAAGTTATAAGAAATGTTGTTATAACGTTGTGAGGAGCCCAAAGCATAACCTTTCCTCAAAGAAAATTTGCAACGTTGTTATAAAATGACGTTACCAATCTACAACCTTCCCACAACCTTGTGAAAACATTCTGTGTTAGCTGGTCTATGGTTATAAGGAACTCAGAGGAACCTCTAATTCTACTTTGTTGTACCTGTAGTTTGTTACATGTATTTTGGCTACAATATACAGCAAGTGGACAGGCCCAATAAACAGTTTGTTATATCCAACAGTTCATGTGTGATCATGTTCATAATAAACATAGTTTACTGTATTGTAAAGACAATTGTTCATGTTATGGCTGGTATACGATGTTAGGGATATGGTTAAATGACGTTGTTTAAGCGTAAACGGAGGAACATAGTGACTCAGTATTGTGATAACCTGTAAGGCTACCAAATGGAGTGTTTATTATGTAACTTCCATCATGCTGCTCCTGGGGCATTTTAAATTGATGCAATATACAAAGATGTTTCCATTAAAAGCAGTATTTTATACATTGTGTTTTGGGGACACTGCTGTAGTTTATGGAAACCAGTGTCCTCTTCTGAAGGAATACTCCTTCCAATAATCTATACTGGAGTGTTTTCCTACTGTTTTGTAGAATGTTTGCTGTTCTCAATTTGTAAAGGCAGCTATATTCTTCTCTTTCTAACATTCTTAACACCACTGCCACTTTCTTAATGTACCAAATTAAATTTGTCTAATGAGGTCATAATAATTTAGTTCTATCCCTACTCACCTCCCTTCAAATTGCTCTTTTCACAGAATGTCCTTGTTCCCCATTTAGATGCAACTGCAAAATAATGCTCTGTATTCCTGCTTCTGTCTTCACTTTATATGTAGACAAACAGATACACTAACAATAAAGGTGCTTTGAGCAATAAGTTTATGTTTTTGAAATATTTGTTGGTTACATTTCTCCTACTTTTTGCCAATATAAAAAAACTGAATAATTCCTTGTCAGAGATTAAGTGAAAGACATGGTGACCAAAATCTTTAGAATCTGTCACAACTACCTCTATTGCCCTGAATAATAATGTGCAACAGAGAATATAAAAGTTTTTCCTTTAAATATAAATGAAAATATGATAATTTATTGTGGCCTGATCAACATACAGCTTTAGGTAAATGCAGTTGTAACACTGAACATAATTTCCTTGCCTGATTTCTTTAAAAGTCTTGCTGGATTTTGCTTTTCCTCCTTGTCTTGGAATGTCTTGCTGCAACTCAATATTTTCTCTCTTAGTCAGTAGAGTTGGTTTGTTTGTTGTTGAATGCAGCACTCAGCAATATTCCAGCTGTATGGCGGCGGTCTGTAAATAATCGAGCTTGGACCAGACAATTCAGTGATCAACATCATGAGCATCGATCTATGCAGCCAAGTCAGCGAGCCTGACCACCCGACCCTCTTACAACAAACATGGGTTACTGAAGACCAATTCTTACCTGGATCTTCATGGGTACTTAGTCAGTTGAGAAGGGTGTGCAATATGCTGGTGCAGTTTGCTGTTTGTGTCGTAATAGTGTTTAGTTATCCTTGCGTCTTAATGTGACTGTACACACACATATGCATGCTCCACATGCAGCCCATATGTGAATGTGCTGTGAATGTAAACAATACTGGTTGGTGATGGACAAGGCAAGGGCAAGCGGGTAATAGCACTGATTGGTGAAGACACGGAAGCCAGCTGGATGGACAGTGGCACAGAGACTTAAATCAGTAAGTCCCAAGCGCTAGTCAAGTGTGTTCCTTGGTCACAGTTGATGGCTGGTTTGTGTGAGGATATTTCATTATTTTTATCCCCACATGGGTACAATGTGTGAAGCCCATTTCTGGTGTCCCCCGCCATCATATTGCTGGAATATTGCTAAAAGAGGCGTAATACCAAACTCACTCACTCACTCACTCATTATTTTTAATGAGTCTTTATATATAAGTATAGTTGGTAGCAATATCTTTTCTGACTTCACATAAACAATTGTTGCCAACAAATTTCTGTCATTCAGTTTTGTCTTTGAAATGATGGTTTGACCTAGTAGTTTTGAAAAGATATTTGGCTCAGTTGTACACACACAGGTTGACAGGGCATGGTTCATCTCCTGCCAGAAGCATATATTATAAGATTTCACCCTGCTTCCAGCTGATCCTTTCTGCGTTTGTCAACTCAATACTAGTGTTAATAGCTTTCACCATGTGGTAAATACCAGAGCGAATGAATGAGTTTAGTTTTATGCCGCTTTTAGCAATATTCCAGCAATATGTTGCTGTCATCATCTCCAACAGTGTTTCAGAATTAAGAAGTTCAGATTATTGAGGATTCTCTATGCACATAGGACACAGTATTACTTCTCTAGTATAAGCACCAGCTTACTGACTAGTCATAATGAGTTTTACCTGTTTAAATTATATATTTGCATATTCCTTGTCTTACATATGTCAATGGTAATGTTATGAAAGGCCGAAAATGAAGAGTGTGTGGACACAATCAAATCTGATTTGATGTAAAATTTCATAGAACTAGATCAGTGACCATTGATCTGACTTTTTATCGGAGGTAACCCATCTATGTTACTGTGATCTGAGGTAACCCATCTATGTAACTGTGATCTGAGGTAACCCATCTATGTTACTGTGATCTGAGGTAACCCTTCTATGTTACTGTGATCTGAGGTAACCCATCTATGTTAATATTGACCTGAGGTAACCAATCTATGTTAATATTGATCTGAGGTAACCCATCTATGTTAATATTGATCTGAGGTAACCAATCTATATTAATATTGATCTGAGGTAACCCATCTATGTTAATATTGATCTGAGGTAACCAATCTATGTTAATGTTGATCTGAGGTAACCCATCTATGTTAATATTGACCTGAGGTAACCCATCTGTGTTAATATTGACCTGAGGTAACCCATCTATATTAATATTGACCTGAGGTAACCCAATGTTATTTGATCTGAGGTAACCAATCTATGTTAATATTGACCTGAGGTAACCCATCTATGTTAATATTGACCTGAGGTAACCAATCTATGTTAATATTGATCTGAGGTAACCCATCTATGTTAATATTGATCTGAGGTAACCCATCTATGTTAATATTGACCTGAGGTAACCAATCTATGTTAATATTAATCTGAGGTAACCTATATTGATCTGAGGTAACCCATCTATGTTAATATTGACCTGAGGTAACCCATGTATGTTAATATTGACCTGAGGTAACCCATGTATGTTAATATTGACCTGATGCAAACCATCTATGTTAATATTGATCTGAGTTAACCCAGCTGGTGAGGTAACCCATCTGTGTTCATATTGACCTGAGGTAACCCATGTATGTTAATATTGATCTGAGGTAACCAATCTATGTTAAATTAATCTGAGGTAACCCATCTGGTGAGGTAACCAATCTATGTTAATATTGACCTGAGGTAACCCATCTATGTTAATATTGACCTGATGCAAACCATCTATGTTAATATTGATCTGAGTTAACCCAGCTGGTGAGGTAACCCATCTGTGTTAATATTGACCTGAGGTAACCCATCTACGTTAATATTGACCTGAGGTAACCCATGTACGTTAATATTGACCTGAGGTAACCCATCTGTGTTAATACTGACCTGAGGTAACCCATCTGTGTTAATACTGACCTGATGATCTATGTTATGTTGATCTAAATGAGTGATTGAGTTTAGTTTTACGCCGCACTCAGCAATATTCCAGCTATATGTGTTAATCAGTTGATATTAGACTGTGATAAAGGACTGTGAAAAGTTACCTATCAGTTTTCCAACAAGTGCACTGACATTCCATTGATGATACAGCACTATAAGTACAATCTCTTATCAACTGACATTGGTAACTGTTTTGGTTTTTTGCTAGTGTACCATTTTGTGTAAGACCATTTTATGTATGTGTATATATGATATTTACAACTTAAACAATGTCTAGCTGTTGGTGTCAAGAGCTGTATGTTCTTTGAGTCATGAAAGTTGTTGAGTATTACTCAAGAGTATTAAGTTTCAATAAAAACTATTATTTTGAAGCCTCGTATATCTGCAGTTTGTTTGTAGCCTGTTTCTCTCTTCATGTTTCCTGAATGGTTTGACATATACTGATGGTAAAAAGTTAAGCAACCCCGTATGTACATGTTGATTTCTTCTTAGGTAATTACATTTGAACCTAATGTGTTTGCGCATGAAATGATACATGAACACTTCACTCAAACACACCCAACAGAATGAGACCAGATATCATGCTGCACATGGATAGTGAAATCCGCGAAGGCACTCGCGACTTGCACAATACACGTTTGATGACTGATCTTGTACACGTCATTACTATGCAAACATGGCACGGAACATGATCTCGGATGCTTCACGATGGCAGATGATAGGCATGAGGGAAGCAGGCATGTCCCTAAGACGAATTTCAGAACACATTAACGTTCGTAGGTCAGTGGTCAGCAGACGTTTACCCAAACACAGAGTGACAGGTGATGTGAAGGACAGACCTCGTCATGGTCAACATTGGAAGACCAGTGCACGTGACGATCGTCGTTTGGTTCAAATGATAATCCTTTTCATTCAGCTAACCAGTTACGCCAAGAGTGGACACAAGCAACAGGCGTCAACGTATCACGTGAGTTAGTGAATTAAACGCCTTGTGGCAGCTGGATTAAAGGCTCGACGACCACTCAAACGCCCACGTTTGACACCTAGGCATATGCAAGACCGATTACTCAGGGCTAGACAACGTCAAAACTTGAACAATCGAAGTTGGCGACGAGTAATTTGGACGGATGAGTCACGCTACAATTTGTACGTCGCTGACGGTCGTTTACGTGTCAGACGGGAAGCCTAGGATGAGCTGAACTCAAAGCGTGTTCTTCCTACTGTCGCTGGAGGCGGCGGCTCCATAATGGTATGAGCTGGACCCACTTATGACTAGAAAGTGGACATCGAGGTTGTCCAAGGAACGATGACAAGGGTAAAGTATCGCAATCAGATTATTGACAACACCGTTATTCCTTTCCTTCACGCCAATCCTGTCACAGCATTTATTTACCAAGATGACCATGCTCGCCCACATCGTGCTACTGTTGTTCAGGAGCCAAACAAGAGCACAGAATTGAGTCCCTTCCTTGGCCAAGTCAGAGTCCTGATCTCAACCCGATAGAGCATGTATGGGATGAGATCGGTAGACAAGTAAACCGTCGTGATCAACCTCTGACCAACTTACAAGAGCTTAGAAATGCTGTGCTGAATGCCATGTCCATAAAATATCGAAACTATCCATCTATCCAGATTCTTAAGTTACTCAAGGAGGTAACTGAGAATTGTCATAACTGTGGCCCCCTCCCTGTCCTCGTACACATTCACACGCAATGCGATACGCTCCTTTGTCAACATACTGTCAACACAAAATCATTCCCATTTCAGCAGATTCTCCAGGTGGTACCCTGTGTCAGGAGACTAACTGCAACTGCCAGCTAGTATCAATCTACCCTTGAATTGATACACATTGTCTACAGACAATCCAAACTGCCAGCAGATTCTCCAGGTGGTACCCTGTGTCAGGAGACTAACTGCAACTGCCAGCCAGTATCAATCTACTCTTGAATTGATACACATTGTCTACAGACAATCCAAACTGCCACAATTCTCCAGGTGGTACCAGTCAAAACTGATAACCTGAATTGATACACATTGTCTACAGACAATCCAAACTGTACAATTATATGATGCTGTCAACATGTTTCCCATGATGACAAACAGTCCAAATGATAACCTGCGTCTATACACTATTCAAATGATTATCAGTGAGTTGGTGAGTGATTATGGTTTTACGCCGCTTTAAGCAATATTCCAGCAATATCACGGCGGGGGGACACCAGAAATGGGCTTCACACATTGTGCCCATGTGGGGAATCGAACCCGGGTCTTCGGCGTGACGAGCGGACGCTTTAACCACTAGGCTACCCCACCGCCCTCAAATGATTATCATGTCAACAGATTATCCAAATGATATTCTATGACAAGGGACTATCCAAATTGTAGATTCGAACTATTCAAACGGTATCGGTGCCAACAAACTCTTCAAATGCTGCCTCTACCAACAGACTGTCCTGATGATACACGTGCCAATAGAGTATCCAAATGGAACACGTGCAAAGAAATTACTCAAATAATGCCCGTGCCAACAGGCTATTCATATGATACCCGTGCCAACAGACTGTCCAGACGATGTCGTGTCAACATGCTATCGAAATGGATCACGCCCCAACAGACTATCCAGACGATGTCGTGTCAACATGCTATCGAAATGGATCACGCCCCAACAGACTATCCAGACGATGTCGTGTCAACATGCTATCGAAATGGATCACGCCCGAACAGACTATCCAGACGATGTCGTGTCAACATGCTATCGAAATGGATCACGTCCCAACAGACTATCCAGACGATGTCGTGTCAACATGCTATCGAAATGGATCACGTCCCTACAGACTATCAAGATGATGTCGTGGCAACATGCTATCGAAATGGAACACGTGCCAACAGACTATCCAAATGGAACACGTGCCAACTGATTATCCAGACGATGCCCGTGTCAACATACTTTCCAACTGATATCTTGTGTCGTCACAGTTTACAATTTGAAATGGTATCTTTGATATCCACCGCTCTCCATTCTCTCCTTTTCCCGCCATCATGCTTCTGGTGCATAATAAAATTGACGTTAACTCCGTGTTCAAATTATACAAGGCATACTAGTATTCCTCAGCCAAATGTTTACAAGTTTCAGTACAAGGACGTTTTATTTGATGACAAAACAAACGAAATCTCTTTGCTTCATTCCTTCAGGATTTATTTACAAAGCTGGTTTATCAAAGGCAGGACATGTTGCACGATAAACACACACTGGCTCCACGGTCTGGCACATACTAGTATTTACATATCGCTTTTCCTTTATTGGTTGATGTACCGTAAATGATCTGGAAACTGAATTAATACATATGCCAGATGTGGGTCATGGAATATGTCAGATCACCATATGTAACTCAACCCTTATGGGTATCGTACATGTGGGTCGGTCATCACGTTTCAAGCACCTTATATTGGGTTTGGTAACTTGATATGAACTACTGCAAGTCCAGGTTGCCCGCTCTAGTTGCCAGCTTGCCATCACCAAACCTGTTCGAGAACACCTGCACTTGGCTCTTGAACTCGTCAATCTGGAGGTTACATCCCTGTAACAGTCAGTTATTGTTGATAAGAAAATCCGCGTATGTACTCAAACACTAACGATTAGTGTCTGAAAGTATGTAGTGTTGCTTGAGACCAACAACTCCATTGAAGCTGAACACGAAACTCAAAGATAGGAGATTAACATCTGTTCAAAGCTGCGCTTAATCCAACCCTTTTCTTACACTACACCCGACTGTGGGAATAAACACTGCTTTCAAAAATCTTTCAAAATATGTTTAACATTATATACAGCTTCAACTCAATGGAATATGTTAGATCGTCCTCGTGGTTTGGTAGACTGTCAGTTTTATCTGAAGTCATGGCGATGCAAACTATAGAAATGATCCCCAAAAGTATGTCTATGCGATCGGATTGGGGAGCCATCTTTACAACCCAAAGTCAGCCGATTTAATGACAGTCTCATGAACAAAGTCAAGTTAAGATAATACGGTAATTACAACCCTCCGTACATTATTTAGGAACCATAATTTACCTGGAAATGTCTGATGCCTTCATTGGTATTGAAACCCTCCCGGCCGTGGAGGACACGTCTGTTGTTAAATGAGATCATGTCCCCTTCATGCATACGGAGGTGGTACTGAGGGGCAAATACACAACATACAAAATGGGGAAAGAGTTCTATGCAATAAATATTTTCCTGAAATGGAAAAATAAATCTGCATTTAGTTAGTCAACACTGCGACTGATCTGCTTAAACGCCTTACAAAACATCACGTAATGAAGCACTCGATGTGTATATGTTTACCTTTAACGGGAAAGTGTTCACCAAAGTTGCCATAACTTTGTAAGCTCTGTAATATGGTTCCACGTCCTCCTGTAACAATGAAACAGATCGGTGGTAGGGACTCAGCCAACTGAGTACTAATCAACACAAAAAGAGAAACGAAAAAGAAAACAAAAAATAACAAAGACCCGAAATGGATAACTATAGGCTACAATCAAGGACCTTTAACCAGGAATCGCTGTAAAGTACCTGTGATAAAACCTGTATTCGTGGAACGAGTCAGCCTTAACTTCCGTTGTGACAGCAACTTATTCAATTGCCTGCTTAGATGCAACATTTGGCACATGATAATCTTAGATATATTGCATATTTGGATCTGACTGCCTTAGGTACACATACATGATTGCCAAAGTCATTAAGATCAATTGAGTTATCATCAGCTGTGATGAGGAGGATTACTCTGTATTGATAGTTTGTTCAAAGGGAGATATTTGACCTGTAAAGTACCTCGTTTGTTAGGAGTGGCCCAACCAGACCTGGGTGCCATGAAACGCCAACAATCTGAAATAGAAAACCAATATACAAGACAGAGTTGGTATTTCGTTGCCCGTCGACAATACATCACACCACATGCACACTTATCTCAAACACATGAACTAATATCTTTATTACCTCTCCGTCACTGTTGAGGCTAATGTGTGGTCTTTGGTACGACATGTGAACAGGAACGTCTCTGAAACCACACAAAACTCCACTTTCATTTGTGTACATGGTATGTTTATTTCTACGAGACGTCATATCCAAACAGAATTACTGATCATACCAACTCTGCCTTTACATGCTTACATGCGTGCGTGCGTGCGTGCACGTGCGTGCACGTGCGTGCGTGCGTGTGTGTCATGTCTGTATGTCAAATACAAGAACAAGAGAGTTGTCTTGCACAGACAGTTATACAACTCCACATTAAGTTCAAGTGAGCAAGCACCTATTTTCTCTACAGCTTTGGGGATAGCGATTTGACATTCAGGATTTGATATGATCCATTGATACTTGAAAAAAATGAATGAACAGTTTTTGACAAGTCGCATTCTCTTGACATGCTGGATTTTCTAGAAGGACACTATGTAATAAACATCCCTCTCCCTACGCTTCAGTCATGGCTATATAGTCACCTATCATAGTGGACAGTTTCCCAGTTGACAGGTATCCGTGTGAGGTCCTGGAACTCCTTTGGGTATTCCTGTCTGAGCACGTTAGCCACGTGGAACACGTCCACGAAGAAGTTGCTTCCTCCCGTCACTTCTTTGTCGAATCTGATAAAAGTGATAATATTGTATATGAAAGATATAACCTAACCTTGAATGTGAGAGTCACTCAGTACTGTCCTCTAAATGTTAAATATAGGGGAATAAAGTTGAATAAACAAGCTATGCTAACCTCATACAGTGTAGGAACTGCAGTCCTGGTGGAGACTCGTACATTGGCTGGTCCATGTGTAGCTCCAGTCTCACCGTCGAGTAGGCGAAATTGATAGGTTGTGGTGTGTCCCTCACTTCAAATAGCTGTGAAAAAAGTTTAAAATATTCAAAATATAAGGACAAATTATAATAACCGTCATCGGATTTAAGAGAATGGGCAGTTTTCATAATGCTAATGAAAACTTTGTTGAAGGAGTGACAACATATTTCTGTTGTTCAAGCTGTAACCCAACCACTACATAATGTATCGACATGCATTCATAATACAAAACCAATCCATCAAGAGGGATTAGACAGTGTATTTGAAAACGCCTGTATCTGGCATTGTGTCAGGGGAAAACATATTCTGACTCTACCCATTATCAGGACATGAGTGCAGTATACGGATCGTTAGAACTTCACAAACAACATAAATGCATCACCTACCTTCCCGTACACAGTTGATTGGATTGGAGCAATTTTCTCTACCACCTGGTGTAACACAATTCAATAACAACATGACAATTTTTAATCGGTGAAAACTGTTTTGGGATATAAAATTATGTCTAACTTTTAATTAGTATATAACATTATGATATTCATCATGATGCTTAAAGAGTGACGCGCCATCAAGCTTCGCTCCAGAACTGGCATCGCCATCTTAATCTAATTCCTGATCTTGTTTCAATGCTTTTCATATGTCAAAGACTAGAAATAAGCTATTGTAATTATTTTGTCCAGAGCACATTAAGGGTATTCATTAGAATGGAGATATGCTGGGTTCTCAAGAATGGCTAGTATGGTAACGTATTAATCAGAGATTCAGTGACATGTTTATGGTTTTCAGTTGGGTTTACAACTGCTCACCTTCTTAACTGTCATGTCTTGAGTCGGTACGTTTTTCATCAGACATATTCCATACTTATCGAGCTTGTCCAGCCATCTGGTAATACAAATGAAACATCATCAGACATACTCCATGCTTAAAAGTGTATTGGTGTACTGCAATCAACCGATCCCTTCCGTGAAACGGATTACAATATTTGGCAGTTAAATATTAAAATACTGCTTACGTGAATAGGCCAGCATCGCTGCCCATAACGTCACTGTAGGCCACCTCTGGAATCCGAGCCTTTTAAAGGAAAATAGATCATTTGTTAGAGTAATCAAGTAGTCAGTACTCTGAAGCAAACAAAATGGCTCAATACGTTCTAAATCCTTTATTCACGTACAATAGTAAGATTGGCAGAAACACCAGGTGTCCAAAGAATGGATAACCATGTTGTTATGGATAGCCATATGATCATGGTGGCTTGAAGCATTCTGCGACCTTCTTAGTAATATTGAAAGTATCACAAAAAGATCTAATTATTTCAAAACTATATTACATATAAGTACGTATGTGGCACAAGTCTTTCAGATGAAACCGCCAAAACTCTCACTCAAGCAACAGTCATATCTCGCCTTGACTATGCCAATTCACTTTTGTTTGGGATAGCAGCTTCCCTGGTTCATCGACTCCAGGTTATACAAAACACAGCCGCCAGGATAATAACTCGTTGTCCTCGAAGAGACCACATCACCCCCAGGTTAAGAGAACTGCATTGGCTACCCGTTGCCAGACGCATAAAATTCAAGGTGCTTACCATTATCTACAAGTGCCTGAAGACCAACACTGCTCCATCTTACTTGTCATCTCTTCTAAACAACCATAGACCAACAAGAACTCTTAGATCACAAGATAAAGATCTGCTTATCACCAGACCATCCAGGACCAAATACGGGGACCGCTGCTTTGAATGTGCAGCTCCCATGCTATGGAACAACCTCCCTATGTCGCTAAAATCCGCCCCAAGTCTACCAACTTTTCGAAAACATTTAAAGACACATCTATTTGAAATGAAATAGACTGATTTGCACAAGCGCCTGTGAGCAGCCTAGCTGGAACTCGGCGCTATAGAAGTAGATTATTATTATTAAGTCAATGAATATATTGAACACGCTAGAAAATATCGTTAACAGTCGGAATGTCTTCTTTGAAGTGAACTTCAAGTGAATGAAAGTATCGCTGTGTAAGCATTATCACAAGGCGAAACTGATGCCTTACCTCAGTGTTGAAAACCATTTTTCGTTGTTTTTTTATTTCTGCCAAGGACTTGTCACTGTAGCTGTAGTGCTTGAGAAAAGGTACGGGGAATATTCCTGTGTGGTCCTTGTCATCACTCCAGATTACCTTAAGGACCTTGTCACCTATGAAGTTAACCATGAGAGTCAACGTAACCGTACAAATACCAAACAGTACCACCAAGTATTCACATATGTTCATATATTAGAAGTGCAGGAGTACATATACTCGTACTATTCAAACTCTCGATATATATACAATTTTAAAATTTCACAATTAACAAATTATCGATCGATGCCTATTGTTATTTGTTCTCCGGGAATTGTGATTCCTCCATCCCAGTTCATCCATGAACTATCACTGATAATACGTTTAGGGATCTTCGCCTTTTCAACGTGCGAGGAAACTGGAAGAGATACTGATATCAATGAGAAGTCTTTTGACTGGTCCCTAAACCAAGCTTATACTGTAGTCTTGAGTTCATCATTGGCAAATTGTCTTACACAATAGTAATACTGTTTGTTGCGAGGTGTTGAAACTTTCACAGGTATCTCATGAATGATCAATGTATGCCATACTACTAGCGGCATAGCTGTTTCACAACTTTAGGTAGTGAAGTCTCAAAACTTCTTGACCTCCCCGTCTTGAGTAATTTCTTTGAGTATAGATATAATGAAACTTGTGACCAGAGCATTACATTCAAATCATTATTCTTGTAATGTACAATTAAAGATGTAAGGATGAATGAACAAATTAGATGTTGTTAACGAGAAAACGTTTGTGCATACCGTCCAGTTGGGCATCGGACACGGTGGCGTCCACATTGACATCCTTGAAGTTCACAATAGGCTGGTTGGTGGACAGACGGCAGGAGGGACAGTGACATGCTTGACGCAGCCACATGCTGTGATATCTACATAAAGAAAGCATTGTACATATGGTCACAGGTGTGGAAAAAAGAAATAATCAAGCATTACTGACTATTCTCTTATACCAGTGTGTCATGAACTGCTGATAAATGAACATATACATTGCTAGGCTGGACAGAGTTGGGATGTATACACATGTATGATTTCAAACAGGGCGTACTGTCAGTTTGTTCATTGGTGAGTGGGTGAGTGAGTGAGTGACCTTTGCCGTACTTGAAATATACTTTAAAAAATGTTTGGTGGTATGGTTTGATACCACTGTTTCTAGGTCGAGTTGCCTACTTTCAGCCAGACTTACCAAGATGAGATAAGAATATATATATTACTGATAACAGGTGGTGGGAAAACGACATCTGGAGCACCGTCCCTCCAGATAAACACATGTCATTTGCAGCCTGTTTGACATTATAATTTCACTTGTAGAATATCAATGCGTCATTAGGCAGTATCTGTGTCCTCGGTTTTATATTACAGAGACGAAAAGGGTGTTCCCCATATACCTGTAAAAGTTATACTTGTAAAATGGGGGCGGTGGAGTAGCCTTGTGGTTAAAGTGTTAGCTCGTCGCACCGAAGACCCGGGTTCGATTTCCCCACATGGGTACAATATGTGAAGCCCATTTCTGGTGTCCCCGTGATTTATTGCTGGAATATTGCTAAAAGCGGTGTAAAACCCAACTCACTCACTCATTCACTTGTAAAATGCTTCACATGCTAGTGGACGGTACACATCCCAATTAATGAGAACAATATATATTATACTTATGCTGTAGCATGTGCATTGGATAATACTTCAATACAATTCGTTTGTCACAACCCTAAGCGGTTTTTATTGATATCCGTCTTATTTAAGCCAAGGTTTGATAATAATGACTTACCTAGATACACTACCGTCCTCCCATTTGATTTCGACATTTTTGCCACCGTCAATTGTCGTCAAAGCGACGACCTTCGCATCTGCTGACCTTGCATACTGTCAATATGATGACATATTTGGTATGTTTTCGCATTTCTTATTTTCGTTTTGATTGGTGAAATCACTTATACCCTTCAATACATACACAACGACTTTATGTCTCGATCATTTGCGTCATTTCAAAACGGTCAATATGTATCAATGCACCATGTTCCGCTTCTGCAAATACCCGTTACGTTTACGGTCATGTTTTTTTTATTGTTTTTGTTGTACCTTTCTTTGAAAATACGCAGAAGGATAAACACTCTAATCAAACTAAACACTCTAATCAAACAAGGATAATGAATTGTAAACTATGAAATGCTGATGTTTATTGAGTCCTGCCCCACAACGAAGCACATGAGACACAAGAGTTTGTTCAAAATTGTCTCTGTTCACCCAGCAGGAAAATGAGTACCCGGTGGAAAAAAGTCATCTGACTATAACCTTCTAGCGCCTAACAGGCAGCTTGGGTTATCCGGGGTAATAATGTGCTGTGCCTTGATTGTTAGCGCTATGAGCATACCTAGTGTGGAGTTTGGCGCTATATAAATGGACACATTACTATTATTATTATTATTTTTTTATTAAGCTAATGGTCTTACCGCTGTCTTCAGAAATAGCCGTCTTTCGACCAAACTCTCATAGCTGCTATTTGATGGCGATGCTGCTGTTGCTGCTGCTGCTGAAAATTCCAAAGCAATGACTAAGGAAACCCATGGGCAGGTATATTTTATAGGTGATTTACTTCGTAACTTAAACACATATATTTATCACACATTTAAAATAGTTGTATTACTTTCAGTGTTCACAAACACACATGGTGCTGGTGGATACACCTACACCTGTGGAGGACCGTCTCTGTGATCAATGCTCAGTCCTTGAGGATGAAGAACACTGTTTCATATCTTGTAGTAAATATTCAGATGTAAGACACACCTTATTTTATTCCCTTTCCTCTCAAATTAATTAATTTCCAAGCCTTACCACCACAGAAAAAAATAGCCTCATGTTTACAATGAACCAGATAGAATTGAAAATAATATTCTACCATATATACAACTTCAAACAAATCTAGAAGATCTCTAGCTTGTCCTTGGTCATTTGTGTTAGCATATGTATTGTTACGTTGACTTACTATATATCTCGTTAATGTAGTTTATAGAATAGTGTCACTGTTTCTACATGGTACGAAATATCTTGTAGCTCTCTGGTACCCATAGACAGGAGTGGGATCTACACAGAGTTCTGGCATGACAGACACAATTCAGTAAAATTGTCTTTCATGTTTCAGATCGACTGAAGTGAATGAGAAATTCGCTTCCTATTTTAATTCATCATACAGTGATGAATCCATGAATGACATATTCTAGGCCATTCATTTCCTGCCGGTGTCGTAAGGAGTGTCTGAATAGATAAATGATAACCATTTTACTCTGAATGAATAAAGAAGAAACATTTAACACCTAGGTGTCAAAAATAAGATTTGTGTATTCATCCGTATTCAGTACAGGTGGAATCAATTGGACAGGAAATACTAAATTGTGTAATCTTTCCTTTCCACCTCCTTCATGATGACTATTTCTAAAACCTGAACTGTAACTGTCCAGGAGAATGGATATTATTGTTACTGAGATTGACAGTTTTCACTGACCAATCCTTGTAATTTCTTCAGTAAAAACTGGATGGAGAGGATAGGATGAGAATGCACTCTGTCACTCTGTCAGACAGTGCCGGTGTGTAAGTGTTTCACGTTTACTTGGTTGTTGATGTGTCCAAATATCAACCTAATATGTATGTCAAATCAAAGACATTTTTTTCAGACTGCAATATAAAGATATCGTATTCTACATGTTTATGAAAATTAAATCAACAAAGTATATTGTGTAGGGGACGTCCTTGAAACATGGTTACATTATTGCAGCGTGTAAACGTGTAGATCATAGTGAAATTCCAAACCAGCATGTGAGGATCAACAGGAGATTCTCATAGACGTGTACAGATCAAGATAAGGTTCTCAACGGACGTGTGAAAACATAATAACCCGAACAGACGGCAATGCATCATCATGAGATTAGTGTATAGATCAACATGAGATGCCTAAGAGACGTCAGTGAACCAAAATGAGGTTCCCACAGGGCGTGCTTGGATCAGCATGAGATCCCCAACAGACATGGATCAACATGAGAACATTTTGGAATCTGTGAATCAACATGGCATGTCCCAACAGACATGTCTAGATTAACATCAGATTCTCAAACAGAGCATGAAATTGCCATGTACAGAGCAGCATTGGATTCACGACAGACGTATGATGATCAACATGGGATTCACGACAGACGTATGATGATCAACATGGCATTCACGACAGACGTATGATGATCAACATGGCATTCACGACAGACGTATGATGATAAACATGGGATTCACGGTGTGAGAAGCTACGAGGTCTGGACAATACGTCACCTCAGGCCTGACTTCAGAACTGGTGTTTGACGCTCATACCGTTTTGTTGCCGTGATGCAAGCAATGTCGGACTACTACTAAATTCATAGGAAGAATATGGGCGAAAGGCAGTGTTAGACTTGCATGTCCAGGATAGCATGTCCTCTCTGCGACCTATCCTACTGAACAAAACGAATTCAGGCACCCCACGCTATCTTCTATACCTTAGTACTTATAGTCAACAACATTCCTCAGCAAAATATGAATGCTTATTCAAAACATGTTTATACTCACCTTTGGATGATTGGTCAACTGATCAATTATGACTAAAACTCGCCACAGGATTATTGACAACGTCGGAAATCTCACTGTCAAATTAATCGTATCGGTCATTTTGACGCCCTGAACATGCTATACATATACTGGGCCTCAGCACCAGCATAACTTACTGAGGTAGTTCTTTTTAATAATTTCTCTTTTAATGATTGTTAATATGTTTGTATGCAAACTGTACTTACTTAAAAGTAATACGAGCATTCATGCGCTTCTGTAATCTCCGAACCGCCTCCGTGGTGTAGTGGTTAGAGCGTCCGCCCGGAGAGCGGAAGGTCGCGGGTTCGATCCCCGACCGCGTCATACCAAAAGACGTTAAAATATGGTACTTGTTGGCCCCTGCCTGGCGCTCGGCATTAATGGGTATAACAAGGCCTGGTCGGCTCGGAGTCAGTATAATGTGACTGAGTGGGGTATTCATGCTTCACTGCGGCATGGTATCTCAGTTGGCTAGCACTATAAAACCAGTTAAGTCCGGGCTAGTACAAGCAGCCGGACATACACATACACACGCATGCACGTCGTCATATGAGCGAAATATTCTCAAGCACGACGTTAAACCCAATTTCACCTCACCATTTCACCTCTGTAATCTCCAGCTTTGAGGAAATATTTTTTCAACGAAACAGCTGGTTGTTGTATGTTTAGGTCCTTCTTGTAAAAGCACACAAGACGTTACAGCCTTGTGTTTAGGACAAATTGCAAGTTATTCCATTTAGTGAAAGGCACTTCGAGCCCTGTTCATCTCATAATGGTTAGCTTTCAATGAAACTGTAGCTACATGCGTGGTAGGGACCAACCCTTGACCACATCAGCAACACACATGGAAGTAACAAGCATACAAATATCACACGTGCAAGGTTAGGGCAGCTGCGATAATAACACTGAAATGTTTTGTTTTAAACGATAACAATAACCATGTGTATAAAATTATCAGGGGAAAACAGCCTCTGTGTAGTCGTGGTTGTTGGTTTAACAGAAATAACGGTTCATTTTCTATTATTCTTTCAGTTTCTTTTTACTTAATTTGAGCCGGGAAGGTCCGTGATAGAATTGATCATCTATGCTTGTCATCAGAGGCGACTAGCGGAGTCGGGTGGCCATGCTTCACAAATTTAGATGACTCATATCACCGTGCATCAACTGCGTAGATCGATGCTCATGATGTCAATCACCGGGCTATCTGACCAAGACTCGATTATTGACGGATCGCGGTCATAAAATATCTACGTTAAACAACAAATCCACAAAACAAATTTTATAAACATTACAACACCTAACCTCCATCATCAGTCTTATTGGTCAGTCCAGGTGTATAAATAGTGATGTACGTAAAGGATGCGAGCTAATGTTGCGAATGGGTGGTCAGACATATCCCATCTATGTAACCTTCAGATGTCGTGTTTACTGGTCGAGTCAAGATAAGATCAGATAGCGCATGTGGCAGGTCAGTTATTGCAGCGCATTCACATGAAACAAGTTTTTGCAAGCATGTGGGGACGGATCCTGTGACGAAGATTTTAAATATTAAATAAAACATTGTTTAGTCCACATCAGAACTGCAACTATCGTGGCTAGACAGTATTTTATATTCGGGTACATCGTGAATGACATATTTATTTGGTATTTATTGCTTTCGAATGTTCTATAAGGATGGACATATACGTGTGGAATGGTGCAGATATTGTTTAAGTTAAAACATGTACATACTCTTTCAGACTTTGCAATTGTGTAACCCCGTGCCTGTACAACGTCAATGACAAGGCTCAGTAGCTTAAATGAAGGTTTTTCTGAAATGTATATAGGTACAAATCAATGTACAATACCTGCGTTGCTTGCAAGCCTTTTTGAACTGGATTCAACGAACAGCCCAAGCACACGGCATTCTTGATGCCAGTCCTGGATTGCTTTTGTCAATACCCGTTTCCTACAGAGTCGAAGCACGGCACGATACATGGTTCTGCAATGTTGATAGTTGCAATAACATAAATATATGTATTTATATACACACGAAGGACGTGTATGTACTGGATATAGCTAGTTTTCTCTAGTGTAAACTATTTTGTCTGACAAACATGTAGGTTATGGGTAAAGGTCTTTAATGGACAGATGTCTTTTTCACCGATCCCATTGCTCAGGTTTAAGGCACCGACTTAAATTCGATCGAAAATGAGAGATATGCGGATGAAAAAAAATCAAATATGTATTGTATGAAAGGCATACATAGGCCCATATCCAGGACGTGCATATAGTACAGTGTAGGATCACTTTAACTAAAGATTCACATTTCATTTCAGTTCGTTTCTGCTCTTGAAGACATATTTGAAGTATGATATATAATATTTTAAAAATCTTGATACTTTGTGGCTGCCCGAAGGATGATAAATTGTTGACGAAATGTACTTAAGGTCGATTTAAATATTTATGCTGGGTATGTATTGCTTTCGAATGTTCTATAACAGTGGACATATAAGTGTAAAATGGTACATATATTGTTTAAGTTACAATATGTACATACTCGGGCCTGTAATCCCGGGCCTGTACAACGTCAGTGACAGGACTCAGTAGCTTAAATGATTTTCTTTCTGAAATGTTTGTAGCATTATATTTTAAAGGCGATTGAATCTGGGTAATGAATGAAATTATGCTATCAGGAATAACAACAGAACAGAAGAAGGTTCCACAGTAATAGTGTAAGTAACCAAACTAAACTGTTTGACAGTTTATTCCTCTCACTCTGTAGTTACCGAATATGAAATTACATATTGACATATCAACTACCTCATAGATGGACAAGCTAGATAATTTCAATACGGCATCCATTGCAACGTTTCAATAATGTGATCAGAACAATAGGGAAATTTTGAGACATCAATGCTGTTAGGCATGTTTCCATTGCTGTTATCATGTATATACATATACAAGATTCATACATGCGGGGTAGCCAGCAATAGTGTGAAATGTATATAGTAACACGGGGCATATACACTTTTGTCGACGAATTAACATATACGAATTAAACAAGTAACTTACAAACATATTTCATAAGTTTAACCATAACAATAACATGCGCTACAAAACATTTTCATTTTCATCACGGGTTTCAAAACCTGCGCCTTATACGATTCCTTTGCAATTTCTTCAGTTCGCAGTACGTTCATGAAGAAAAGATTGCTTTTGATGTGAATATCTTTGACTGAATTATCATGATAATGGTGATACACTTCTACACTAAGAACGTATAAGAACATTCTATGCAGTTGTTTCCGAGAAGAACAGCCCTTTTCCGGAATGCCTCAATACTAATATCACACTTTTTTTCTACTAACTTAATCTGTTGCGCATTTACATCAAACTGGTAGGCATATACAGATATGAAGTTTGATACCTCTCAAGATCCTTCAGGTGGAAACTTGTGGTAATGCTTTATGATAAAGTGTTGTAACTAATCGTCATATATATATATAAAGAGAGTTATAACACTAGCACTAAGAAGAAAGCAATGCAGAATGACAAGAAAAGTAAGTTTAAATGCAGTAAAACCTTGAAGGTGAAAGGCGACATTTTTGGATGTCTACTTCTCTTATACAAGGAACATGATGTTTATGAGTACATTCTTACTTAGGTTCAGGTGTAGTTCACACCAACTGAATATAGAAACTGGTAGATATATAAAGAAACCAAAAAGCTCAAGATTGTGTGAAATGTGTTCCTGTAACTATGTAGAAAATGGGTACCACTTCTTATTGATTTCTACTGCTTATGATGATCTACGTAAACGTTTTATCCCTGTCGATGTTTTCACCCATCCAAGCTTGTGTAAATTTAATCGACTTATGAGTAATGCTGCTCCTCTGGTTTTAAGAAATCTTGTCTTGTTTATCTTCTATGCTAACAATCGTCGTCGCTACAGCTTGAAGGCTGCCAATGTATAACGTTGTACCATGGGCCGATGGCCTACATTCACATGAATAAAGACTAGAAAGAACCTTCTGTATATTTTACTTCTTCCGATGCTAGACCTGAAGGAGTAAGATCATCTTTATATTACAGAAGTTGACATCTACAAATTCCACCTGCATATATATCATTTCTAACTGCCATTCAAAGATTTCAAAGAGAAGGTTAATCCATCAGACTCGATTGAAATATCGTAAGATAATCAACCAAACTTGCTCTGCAGAATCAACTGACTTTTGATCAAGATCAAGATAGTTTATTGTACATTACTTTTAAAGGCATCCGACCCGTATGCACACTACTATAATGACTGACAAAGTATGGACAGTGCAAATTGTGGAAAGCAGGACAACATTGCGAAATAACTGCGTGAAGAAATCCGACTATTCCTTAATGTCAACTGACTGTTGCAGAAAGAGTTCAGTTCAGATGGTAACATGTAATCATGGAAATAGATTGCTTAAGATATGTTTGTACAGCTACAGATTGTAACATCATTGCAATGTAATACCAATGACACAATACCCATATGGACCCAATTTTATATAGATGATTTTGTAAATATGAAGATATAAATACAATGGGTTGATGATATATTTTCAGTTGATGCAAATATATGCTTCTGTCGACCTGTACATGCTGTTTGAAATGTTCCAACAAAATGAGCTGACAAATAACAACAGTTTTTAATACAAGAACACAAGTTCATTTGTCCATGGAAACTCCACGTATGTGTATTTCTCCTACACTTTACCCAGGTTGTTTTTGCAAATTCAAAAATTGTATATTTATGTATAAATGTATATTATGTTTCTACCTTTTAACAATACAAAATACATATTTTCTTAAAAATGAGGAAGTATTATGATGTTTCTTCACAACAAAAGATATTTGTCCTCTTTAAAAGGACATGTTTCTGTTTTTGTGTGTTTAATTCCTCAATCTTAATTACTGTTAGAATCATATTCTTTTCTGATGTTGGCCGTTTAAGCTCAAATATTGCTTGTGGCAAAAGTGACTTTGAAGAGTTGTGTTTAGCTTCTGAGAGTGCCTAATGCCCCAGAGAGATGGCGACATTCCGAGTAGTAGCTGACCAGTTGTGGTTGCACTATGACATTTTCGTGAACAGGTTCCCAGGCTCTGAGGCTTTATTTCGCAGAGCTGCTTTCTCATACCATCCCCTCACTTCAGCGTATTTAGAGGACAAGAACAGTACATGCTATGCTTATATCAATTAGCTCATTAAGAAGTTAAATAATATTTAGCAATAAAACAATGCCCCGGCGTTATATTGAAGGTAGCTGACACGATGGAACTGTAATACTGTGCAAAGCACCAAGAGCCCTATATCAGTGGTTGATTACTATCCTAGATAAACTTCAAAACTTCAGTACAGAGCAGAGGTCATCCTCAGTCTGCTATCAGTTACCCTTGAGGTTGTACTCTCTCACCCTCAATATTGCGTCTTCAGTAAAACACAGTCATCATTTCGTATTGAAAACCAATAACGATTTTGAGGATGTGTGCAAATCAACATAAAAGGCGATGAAACTATTCTAACTGATAGGTATCATGAGATAGGGTCGGCAAATTCTAGGAAGATCTTGTTTTCGCCAGGGATACTCTACAACCTTATATAGTCTCCCTGTTATCGCATGACATTTGAAATAAAGCAAACTGTCGAAACCTCAAATCCGCCTAGAGATATTGGCTACCTCGACATATACTGTTATCTTGCTCAAAGGAAGATATAGAACGGTAAATTGTTGTACAGTAACACTGGGAAAATGAAACGAAAAGGAGAGATACACCATGGGTGTGAGAGACGGGTGTAAAAACGAATCAGAGCTGGATGAGTATATGGTGTTTTACGGTAAAAGCAACAAATATTTTCGCTATAATCGTCATCCTTTGAATACGTGGAACCTAAGCTTAACAAACTAGTAGTGAATAGCATGAATCATGAGCATCACGGTCCCACGATGTAGCCAACCGATCCACAATGGTCTACCCCTCACGGCAATTAGACAATACACATATATATTCTGCCCAGAATACTCACTGGGTGCATCAGATACAATATATCATCAGCACGAAGTATTCAGCAATGAGAAAGTAATATTATTATTGTTCACGTACATATTTTTAGACAATTTTTATCTATAAATTATGTGTTACATAGGATGGAAGCCACACAATCCTTATATAAGATAAGATATATAATGACCCCTATGTGATTATGTTTGAAGTTAATCCATTATTGTAGCATACATGGCACCTCCGTGACATACGTTTGTGTGACTATGCATATGTTAGCATCAAATGCGATGTGATGCGGCATTGGGACGGTTATCAGGCGTGGAATCTATTCCAGAACAGGCATCTTCGTTTTCACTAGTATACTGGGGAGGAAGAAAATGAGATGGGTGCCGTAGGTACAGTCTCCATTGTACATTGTATGACCTAAATATGACATGCAGTAGACTGTCTGTCATGGTGTCGATTTGTTTAACGAACAGTGCATGGGCAAGGTGGAATTACTGAAATAAAATTGCATAAACATGACACGGTGTTACAGACTCATATTTCTTGGATGCAAAAACATTTGGTGATCCAAACACTTAAGACTCAGGGTTTTCATAATCATTAAGAATTTCCAAAGAAACAAACGGTGATAGCACGTGGATTATGTTTTATGCATAAATACCCCAACAAATGAAAAATGAAACGATAATGTTGTATGGTTAAAAGCAATAATGCCATGGACACAATGTTGCATCCCCAATGTATGTAGATGTAAAGCAATACGGTAAATGTTCGCCTTTGAAATGTGAAAAAAAGAGTCACCCTTAATTATAAAGTAAAAGTGTACTACCATCTTAATGAACAAATAAATAAAAGCGAAAAAGCACTTCCAAACCTCTCCACATCCGTAGGAAATCTCTGCTAAATGCAGAGACGCATGTACAATTCTGTGTATATCATCAGTAAGTGTTTGTTTGTTTGTTTAACGCCGCTATCAGTAATATTTCAGCAGTTTGTAAACAATCGAGTCTGGATCAGATATCGATAATCTAGTGGTTGACATTATGTGTTTATCAGTTACTATAAAGAGTGATGATACCAGGCGTTCGCGAATTAGCGTATGCTGCCCCACCGGTGGCACCCATCATAAAGATGAGGCGGTCTCATTTGTTAAAGGAAACTGGCTATCTGATGGTTATCAAAAGGTATCAGATCATCGATATACCTGAAGCTTACGTTCTTGGCCACATTATCTTGTTTGATTTTGTCAACACGGGCAGAAATTCCGATTCATATGCTTAAAGAAACAGATCCACAAGGATGCTAATGGGGATGATTACTTCAGTTACTCACAAAGTTTAAATAGGTGTTATAAATGAGGAAGTCAAGATTTCACATAGTATTTTCTAAGTAAACTTCAAAAGGTGTTTGTTTTCATTTTTGACAAATTGTCCTGACCCTTGGAAAGTAGATACATATGTATACAATCGAGATCTTGTTTTAGGAAACAGTGATATTTTAGTATAAATGCAAACTAAACTATGGCGTATCAGAAAATAGATTGGTTCACGGTGCCAAGCTGATAAGTTGTTTCATAGAAAAAGGAATTATTTAAAACAGAGGATTCACGGTACACAAAACCTGACTGTGCATTAATAAAGAACATTGTCTTTAATGGTTTCAATGTATTAATGTCGGAGCACGATATGTGCATACCTTGACCTCCTAATGATTAAAAATGAAACGCAGAAAGACAAACAACAACCCCAAAACCGTAGACAGACAGACAGATATTATATTCAAGTCTCGCCTCATCGTGATACAAAAATACATTAGTACATAAAATGTATTTCACACACCGTACGTCGTGTCAAGGTTAGGCCAAATGCTGAGATTAATGGACGTTGACGTCTATCGTTGCTTCAGCTTGTCCGATCAGCCAAAATGCATGTACCAACCATGGTAGACCAAATAGTTGCATTGTGTTTAGTGCCTGCTTGTGATGTTATGAACAGCCATAGTACACGTGACAGAAAATACTGAGTGTGCAGATACAGGCAAATACTGTAATTCAAACGGCAGAGTTCCCGGGAAATTGTTTGGATGAACATATTTCTGACTGAGAGGACGTATTAGTTGTATATATGTAGGTGTCACCACAGAGTTCGTATGTTACCACAAATGTTTTATAAGGCTACTCAGCATGCTCGGTGAAGAAAGATTTGTTTTTTTTTGTCTTCAGCAACTTATGCATAACCCGACGTGAAGATCCGGATTACTATTGGTCTTCATCAATATGTCACTGCAGAACCTTGTAGCGAGCAGCCGTCAATGCAGACTGACTCATCTGGCATCTGTGATAGGATGATGTTTGTGCTTTTAAAATGTACATCCATTAATTAAAACAGACCTCGTTTTTCGTTTACACTTATGCCAAATGTGACCACAGATAATTTATTTAAGGGGTGACATTTTGTGCAGAGCTGGGTTGATCAGTTTAATTTCACGTATTCGGAAGAGGAGTTGCTTCGTCATATTTCTAGCTAAGTTTTTATTTCTACTTCAATGCCAAACTGTGCACACGTGTACATGTCATAGCTGTTCTGTTTTTAATTAAAAAGTATAACGTTACTATAAAGTCCTTGCGAATACACTAGATGTTGTGTAACCTCATAGGGGCGGTGGGGTAGTCTAGTGGTTAAAGCGTTGGCTCGTCACGCCGAAGACCCGGGTTCGAATCCCCACATGGGTACAACGTGTGAAGCCCATTTCTGGTGTCCCCCGCCGTGATGTTGCTGGAATATTGCTAAAAGCGGCGTAAAGCAAAACTCAGTCAGTCAGTCAGTCAGTCAGTCAGTCAGTGTAACCTCATAAGAGCACAATCGGGTCATCGTATCCCATTTGCAGATCGCCTTCAAATAGCTGGAATATTGGTGATTGGCATTAAATGAAAACACTAATATTTGGCGTCGGAGGTGTATGACTTTTTTGTGCATGTCATCAGTTATGATCTGACACGTGCAATGTTAATATCGATACCGACTATACGCATTATACAAGTACAGAACAAAGCTGCATTGCTTTGTCATGATGGAACGAGGACAGGAATATTCATATACACATTCCTGCTATCTGTTCAGTATTCGCCTTGTGCTTGGTTCACATTTAGGTTGACATATGATATGCGGGAAACAAACGTTTTAAGAGCGTTCACGTTTGGAACGTCCTTTATTCAAACTAATAAATGTAGAATAAGTCGAGTGAGTGAGTTAGGGAGGGAACGGTGCCTCATTTTGTGTCACTTTGATGCAGATATCACGTATTTAAACGTAGCACCGGCATTGTTCCCAATTCGACTTCACTTATAAAGTAAAATCGGTACACTGCATAATATGAGTTATGAAAACCATCTGTAGTTCAGTAGTACGTTTGTTTGTCCATGCTCACGATCACGTGTTTCGCCAAAGTTGTAAAGATCAAGGTTGTGTTTCCTCGGGATTATTGGACACATCGGGATATAACTAATATACTGCTAAATGTTTCTTTTCAACAAATTCACTCATGTTTTCATTGGCAGCACTTCACTTCCAATCTTAACACCCATACGCTTGTGACTGCATGTTGTCTTTGCCTCAATACCAGTGCTAGTGTGATACATTGCACGTCTTCATGATACCCCGTGACAAACGATTATCAAAATGATACACCATGTCAGGAGATATTATTCAAATGTTACCCCGTGTTTACATACTTAAAATATATATAAATGATATCCTTTATCCACTAACTATCCAAATAATATCCCGTTTCAAAAGATGATCCAAACGAGAACCCGTATCAACAAAATATTTAGAAGTTCTTCTGAATAATATTTTTCTTAAGGTCACAAGCCAAATCATTCTGTACCTTAGTTTGGGTACTCTTACCAATTAGAATACAGAATTCTGACATACAGTAAGATTGAAAAGCAAGATATATGGATGTCAACTTCTTTATTGTGAATAACACGACGTTTCAGAGCGTATGCTTGCTCCTTCATCAGCATACGCTCCGACGTTTTCGTGTTATTCACAATAAAGAAGTTGACATCCATATATCTTGCTTTTCCTATGCATTCCATTTCTAAATGCCCTTCAAATATTTGATACAGTAAAATGTAAAATGAATACTCGTAAATATATGCAACTGTATAAGATTGGCAATAGTAGGACGAAAGCATTGCATACACAACAATAGGAGATTCTAGCTTTATTGGATTGGGTTATCAAAGTAGGCGAATGAATGGAAAACTAGGTTGTAGAATACATAACATCTTGACACCAGTACAATATGATCGACACTTTATGCATGATCGACAGCATAATTTGTGCCGCATTGGTACCGTATATACACAGTTAAGCAAATGTACAAGTTACGTGTGCGCGACTGACATATGGAAGATCACTGTCACAATCATCATCTTCACGTTTCAAAGTTATTATTGCAAGTCCAGGTTGCCCACTCTAGTTGCCAGTTTGCCATCACCAAACTTGTTAGTGAACACCTGCACCTGGCTCTTGAACTCGTCAATCTGCACATAACATCCCTGTAAGTAAGAATTATCATTAGGAATTACCACTTACTACTACCAATGGTAAACAGATAACATGGGTAGCATGACACGCGACAGATCAACGTGCTGAATTGTAGGGAGACTGAAATCTATATTAACATCTACATTACAACCTGTGGTTCGAATCATGGATTTACCATGGTGGCTCTTTTGATTTGTCAAGTCTGTGGAGAGCTACAACGGGTATTTCCCTTCACATTTGTCTGACGAGTCATGACTTAACATGGACTCAGTTCGAAGCTGCTTTTTGGACCGGCACCCTCATCCGTACATACCATAGAGGAGTGTTGGACTAGAGGAGAGAAGACTTTCATTTAAACTGTATTGCTCCAGCAGGTGTTAATCAAAACAAGCACGCGTAATTCAATCTTTTAAATCATAAACATTCATTTCACATATAATTCCTACATGCAAACAGTTTATCTACTGAGCGAACATTCCAAACTTAAAACCTTCGGGATATTTTCATTCTTTTATAAATAATCATTAAGAACAATAACAAAGGAAAACAACCTATGCAAACATGAGAATTCGATAAAAGTATTTGAATTAAATTAAGGAAACGAAATATATATATGCATACATTTCTTGCTCGGTTGTTAAGTTACCTGGTAATGCCTGATTCCATCGTTAGGGTTGAAACTCTCCCGGCCGTGGAGGACACGTCTGTTGTTGAATGAAATCATGTCCCCTTCCTGCATACGGTGTCGGTACTGAGGAACAAATCAACAAATAACACAATTAAACGCCACATGCTACGATTACGTTCAGACAAACAACCATTTTACACAAATGTTTTAATTTGTCAATCTTCAAATCCCATTGTCTGTCGCTGGGAGCAGGAACTGTGCAGTTCTAGTGAAAACAACCAACCTAAATTTGAAGAACTCTAGAATTATGTTTACCTGTGACGGGAAGTTGTTTAACAAAGTTGCCATGACTTTGTAAGCCCTGAAGTATGGTTCCACGTTCTTCTATAACATTAGAAACAGAAAGGAAGTAGCAAAATATCCCACTCGTTATTAAGAACTTTTGGGGATATATGTTTTCGTATTTTAATTAAAGTGATTCTAAGGAAAGAACAGAAGGAACAAAGAGGAGACAATTCAATCATGACGCTGCTACAATCATACATTGAATTGTGAGTTCCTGGCATTGAACGCATTTAAGTGATTCCGTGGAGGTAGTTACTTGTCGCTAGCTATGAATTGGATCGCAGCTGCTTATGTCAGGACGGCCACAATGTACAAGCTGTGTATGTTTTTGAACAAAAGTGATAGTTTGTCCGATCTCTGTTTTACTAAGTACCTCTTGAGTGAGCAGAGGCCCACCAAGACCTGGATGCCATGTAACGCCAACAATCTGAAACAGAAAATCAATATACAAGTCATAGTCGGTATTTAACTGTCAACTACACCTCACAACATACACACATTTATCCATATGACACAAACCCATCCCTGTATTACCTCTCCGTCATCGTTGAGCGTTATGTGTGGTCTTCGGTAAGACATGTGAACAGGAAAGTCTCTGAAACAAAGAGGCAAGTATTGTATATACTGGGTCGATTAAACTGGATCTAGATCTCAAGAAGACGTACGGTGTTTTCACAGAGTCTGTGATCATAGAGGTTATTGATGCTTCATGAAAGACACCATCCTCGATAATCTCCAGGGTATACGTTACGATCACTATCCACTGAACCCTGGATGCATCTACGGCTTGTCCCGATAATTATATTACTTCCCTTTGCTGGCTGTGCATTGCCACAGTAGCCAATCAGCTAAGCCGCCGTTGCATCCGAGCTTGCCAGTGTCAACAAAGATAGCGGTCGCAGTAGCGAAGTTTTGTTCGCAGTACCACTCAGATTTTATGAGAAAAATACAGACAAATTGACAGATCTGAAACTTTCAAAAAATATTTAAAAGAATTCTTTCCACATCTTTCCATGTACCCTCTGCATCAATTGTGTTGCCAAGTTTAGACGGTTAGATAATTTAAGAAGCAAAAGTAAGTTGTGATTGGTACACTCAACTTCCCAGCGTAGACACCTGATTGGATAAAAAGCCAATCAAGGGAGATAATAAAATCATCGGGCCAAGCCGTGGATGCATCCAGGGTATAGTTGAGAGTGATCGTAACGTATACCCTGGAGATTATCGAGGATGGAAGGTCACATACAAATATTAATCTATTAGGCATTCACTGACCTCTAAATGACGACCTGCTGGTTACAACATGGCAGTAGTAGTTAAACATATGAGCAGATTAGAACTGATGTCTGTACAAGTTATCATATTGCCATCTTTGCAGAATCTTACTACAACAAGGTCAGGGAGGTGTGTGTGCAATCATAGAACCACGTACTAATACACAACATCCACATGTAGTTACTTCTTCATGTTGGTGTCATGTTAGATAATGATATACAAGTTAACCTAAACCTATAAGCTTGTAAGTGATTTCATTATATCATTTCCGAGACTCCGCGGGCAAGTTTCAACACGAACCGATCAGTTCTTATACTGATGTAGAAATGTTAAAATGATCTATTACGTCGTGTACAATTGTTGGAAACATCACACAAACTTCGAACATCTCCGCAAACAATGGAATCCATGGCACATTTGGAAATAATTTGGGAGCACAAATTGTCATGTCAGAGAAAAATTGAAAATGGTTTCATCAATATCCGTGCCCTTATTGAATATCTATTTACCTATCATAGTGTACAGTTTCCCAGTTGACAGGTATCCGTGTGAGGACCTGGAACTCCTTTGGGTATTCCTCTCTGAGCTTGTGAGCCACATGGAACAAGTCCACGAAGAAGTTCTTTCCTCCGGTGACTTGTTTGTCAAATCTGGTAAGAGACATAACACTATCCGTGAAGATAACAACCTAGGCGTACACACGAGAGTCCGTCAGTTTGGTCTATTAAAGGTGTGAGTCTACTAGATGTGTGATTTACTCAGAACTGTGCCAGGCACATCCGCCCCCTAAAAGTGTGAGTCATGATTACTCAGTGTTGTGAACAGAATGGGTGAATCAGTGAGTACCGTCTACTAAAAGCGTGATCCAGAAAAAGCTGTCTTATAAATACGTGCGAGTCTGTCAGCGCTGTCTACTAATGTTTCAGTCAGTCAGCGCTGTCTACTAATGTGTCAGTCAGTCAGCGCTGTCTACTAATGTTTCAGTCAGTCAGCGCTGTCTACTAATGTGTCAGTCAGTCAGTACTGTCTACTAATGTTTCAGTCAGTCAGCGCTGTCTACTAATGTATCAGTCTGTCTACTAATGTGTCAGTCAGTCAGTACTGTCTACTAATGTTTCAGTCAGTCAGCGCTGTCTACTAATGTGTCAGTCAGTCAGTACTGTCTACTAATGTTTCAGTCAGTCAGCGCTGTCTACTAATGTGTCAGTCAGTCAGTACTGTCTACTAATGTGTCAGTCAGTCAGCGCTGTCTACTAATGTGTCAGTCAGTCAGTACTGTCTACTGCAGTGGTGTGTAAGAAGTGGCGTCTACTGTATATGATTATAAGTGTTGTCCTCTTAATGTTGCAGGAAAGGGAATAAATTTGAATAAACAAGCTATGCTGACCTGAGACAGTGTAGGAACTGCAGTCCTGGTGGAGACTCGTACATTGGCTGGTCCATGTGTAGCTCCAGTCTCACCGGTGAGTAGGCGAAATTAATAGGTTGTGGTGTGTCCTTAACGTCAAATATCTTTGAAAAGATGAGTTTAGGTGAGTTGAGTTGAGTTGAGTTGAGTTGAGGTGAGGTGAGGTGAGGTGATGTGATGTGATGTGAAATTACAAAGCATGGAACTGAATGAAAATAAATAATAATCAATGCATTTTTTTCAAATGCTCTAGAACGAGTATTGGAGTAATTAAGTGTTTTCTAACGTAAATAGCAGCAATCTTCCAGCCAAAACACGTCATGTATATGACAATGCAATCAAGACAAATTTATTAACATGAGCTAAATTGTACCTTGAACGGCACTCTGGTCTTGTGCTAACTACTTTTTGACAGCAGTATATAGACAATATATCATTCTAATTGACTTCGTGATATGATGTTAGTGTTATGGGTGGTTAGAACATGACGTAACTGATAATGAATTTCTTACCTCTCCGTACACAGATGATTGGATGGGAGCTATTCTCTCTACCACCTGGTATAGAAAATGCAATATTAGAATGAAACTAATTTATCTTGTGTCAAGTCTGTTTTGATATAAAACGATTTTCAACATTAATCCTCATAACATAGAATTACAATATGATGCGCAAACTATTATTATTTCTAATTTCAGATTTAATGAAATGTTTATGGCGTCCGTGTGGTAGGGCTGCTCACCTTTCTAATTGTCAGCTCCTGCGTCGGAACGTTTTTCACCAGACATATTCCATACTGGCTGAGGTAGTTTAGCCATCTGGTAATGACAAATCATCAAATATATGTACATGTTCAGCAATCACCTGATCCTTCAGTAACACTCATTGCAATATTTACCAGTGAAATATTTAAGGGGCGGTGGGGTAGCCTAATGGTTTAAACGTTCGCTCGTCACGCCGAATACGCGGATTCGATTTCCAACATGTGTACAATGTTTGAAGCCATTTTTATCCGGTGTTCACTGCCGTGATATTTCTGGAGTATTACTAAATGCGGTGTAAACTATATTCACCTGTACATCAAAGTACAACTTACTTGAATAGACCATTGTCGCTGTCCATAACGTCACTGTAGGCTACCTCAGGAATCCGAGCCTTATGGGGGAGAATAAATAAATCATCAGGAAAAGTAATAGGGATAATAAACAAATGAAACGGTAGTGATCAGTAAATATTACCTTATTTTCATTTTCAACTACCATCATCACAATTGAGAATATAGTTTGCCTTCTGCTACCTTCTGAGTAATATTTGAATTACAGCTACACAATATGCTTAATAATCAACACCACATGGCATATGTGTATAGCTGTCTCAAAATAATCAACCCTGAAAGGAATATGTTAAATTTAAAACACTTGAAGGAAAACAATTGACTGAAGAAAACAATTCACAATATTCGAATTCGTTGACCAGCATGATCGATACCTGTCAGTTCAGTGAACATCACTGATGAGTCAATTGTTGGGGCACCACGCGCGCTGTCCTATCATGTGTGAATAAAGTAACACAACCACCCCATCTATGACCACAAGGGGAAGCTGATGTCTTACCCCACTGTTGAAAACCATATCCTTAACAGAAGGAATGTCTTCTTTGAAAAACATCATTTCAAGTGAATGAGAGTATCGCTGAGCAAGCATTATCACAAGGCGAAACTGATGCCTTACCTCATTGTTGAAGACCATCTTGCGCTGATTTTTTATTTCTTCCAGGGATTTGTCACTGTAGCTGTAGTGCTTGAGGAAAGGTATGGGGAATATTCCTGTGTGGTCCTTGTCATCACTCCAGATTACCTTAAGGACCTTGTCACCTATGAAGTCAACCATGAGAGTCAACGTAACCGTACACATACCAATCAGTACCACCAAGTATTCACATATGTTCATATATTAGAAGTGCAGGAGTACATATACTCGTACTATTCAAACTCTCGATATAGATACAATTTTAAAATTTCACAATTAACAAATTATCGATCCATGCCTATTGTTATTTGTACTCCGGGAATTGTGAGCACCTTGTCACCTATGAAGTTAACCATGAGAGTCAACGTAACCGTACACATACCAAACAGTACCACCAAGTATCTACATGTTCATATATTAGAAGTGCAGGAGTACATATACTCGTACTATTCAGACTCTCGATACAGATAAAAATTTAAAATTTCACAATTAACAAATTATCGATCCATGCCTATTGTTATTTTTACTCCGGGAATTGTGAGCACCTTGTCACCTATGAAGTTAACCATGAGAGTCAACGTAACCGTACAGAATCCAAAGTAATACCAATATGTTCACAAATGAAAACGTTAAACGTTAAATTATCAATGGACACTTGTCGTTTCTTCTCAGCACCTTAATTGTAAAACTGATCATGGCTTATCGATGATCTATACATTCAGGTTCCAGCAGATTGTTCCAGCAGACTTGGGTTTCAGCGGGACAATTGTTTTAAGCGTTATGTAATGTTAGGTTTATCTGATTAAAGAAACCAAATGAAGGCATGAAATGTACGAAGTCGTCTCACTAATAGTGCCGTATTAATAGGTATTTAGGGATGATGGTTGTTAACAAGAACGTGGGCATACCGTCCAACTGGGCAGCTGACACTGTGGCATCTATATCGACATCCTTGAAGTTCACAATAGGCTGGTTGGTGGACAGGCGGCAGGAAGGACAGTGACATGCTTGACGCAGCCACATACTGTGATATCTACATAAAGAAAGCACCATATGTATAATCGCAGCTATGGCATTTGGAACCTCTTGCACATGTGCTAAATAATATATATATTAAGAATAGAAATAAACGTTATTTTGAACAGATTTAGCACAAGTAGAAAGGCAGGGATGATTTGAATACCTGCGCCCCGTTTCACAAAGCCCTCGTGAGCCTAAGATCTCGTAACTTTTCTCTTAGCATTCGTACTTCCTATACTGTAACATAGGAAGTACGAATGCTACGAGAAAAGTTACGGGATCTTCGGCTTACGAGGGCTTTGTGAAACGGGGCCCTGGTGATCAATGTCCTAGGCTTGTGTACCTTTATCACCATCGACGATATCAGCCTTTGTTTACTTTATTTCGGTCAGTATTAACAGTTATCTCATTGTGTGTGTGCCAAGTTTCTTTTTAACTTCACATTGATAAACATTATGAACACACATGCTTTATACATATGTTTGATTTGTTTATGATTGCCCTCGTGTTAAATGCATTCAGTAAGACTCAGCAAGATCAGGAAACAGAAAATAGATGACAAATGGTAAGAGAAAAAATATCCCGGATTATTTTACATCTTGATTAACACAATGCCACTTCTAACCTACCTGGGGCGGTGGGGTAGTCTAGTGGTTAAAGCGTTGGCTCGTCACGCCGAAGACCGGTTCGAATCCCCACATGGGTACAACGTGTGAAGCCCATTTCTGGTGTCCCTCGCCGTGATATTGCTGGAATATTGCTAAAAGCGGCGTAAAACCAAACTCACTCATTCAGTCTTACCTACCTGAAGCCATTTTCCAGGAATAGCTGAGAGCTACTTTATTTAAACAACCTATCCGGCAAAGGTAATATACTAAAATATGATAATTGTATGAAACGATGGGAGAGATTTCTAACATGGGCAAATGTGGAAGTTTGCGTCCTAATAACTAGGACTCTTATTGGAACACTTATCCATCTGTTAAATAGTTATACAGTTGCATGGATATTGAATAATAATGCATAGATACATGCATCAAATATATTATTAATAATGCATTTTTAACTTTTTTTATCTGTATGTCTTACCTTGATGTGCTACCATCATCCCATTTGATTTCAACATTTTTTCCGCCGTCAACTGTCGTCAAACCGGCGACCTTGGCATCTGCTGACCTTGTATACTAAAGGTAATAAGGGTGACAATGTTCTCGCATTTCTTGTTTTCATTATGGTTCGCAAACACAAAATCATCGATAACCCTTTCAAATATAATCGCCTCTATTTCAGCTTTCAAAGTTAATGGAGCTTCTATAATACTCCAGAAAATATATATCCTTGCAACTGGTCCATTATTCATTCATTCATTCATTCATTCATTCATTCATTAAATTTGTAAAAAAAGTGCATTCTCCTACCAAACACTGAAATTAAGATACTGTTTGGTACCATCCTTAATACTGCGTTTGTTCTTGCTTGATGTAATGGACTTACCGCTGTGTTTAGAAATAGTTGTCTTTCAACCAGACTCTCATAACTGGACTTTGAGGCGGATGGTGCTGGAAAATGAACGATAGTGAGTCAAAAGCCCGACAAAGAGGTACACACTATCCAGTCTAAACTTGCACATACCCACGCACTCGCACACACATGCGACATTATGTAAGAGTTGAAGTTTTCACTTCATGTTTTTTTTCAAAAACAGAAATATTTTACAACCAGTTCCACTGTTGAACGAGGGAAACATACCTTCACTCGAGGAAGACATCTTAAAACACACACACCAGAGTTAGCTAGGTTGATCCGAATCCAACTGGATTCACAGAACATGTGTTTCTGGATTTCGTTTGTTCGGTTCTAACTGTTTTTAACCGTTATCTCACTGAGACAACAATTTCGTGTCACCTATTTGATTAAAATCATATTGTGTCTTTGATTAAAAGCGGTGTGACTCAGGGATTCTAGCCGTTGATGATATTCATGTAAATAACAGCTAAATTACGACCAAAATAAGAAGCATGTACACTCACTTTCTGAAAGAAATGGTCATACCATTCCATACCTGCCCCATGGGTACAAAACGCTATGTGCCAAGACTCCAGGAAGTGGAGTTTCGCTGCTTCGATTGTCCATTGTTCTATTTGGGGACGACCCGTGAAGATCCGGGTTAGAATTGATCTTCATTAACCCATGCGTGTCGTAAGAGGTGACTAACGGGATCGGATTGTCAGGCTGGCTGACTTGGTTGACACATGTCATCGCATCCCAATTGCGTAGATCGATGCTCATGCTGTTGACCACTGGATTGTCTCGTCCAGACTCGATTATTTACAGACCGCCGCCATATAGCTGGAATATTGCTGAGTGCTGCATAAAACTAAACTCACCCACCCACTCTAGTTGGGGACATTGAAGACTAAGCTAAATTACGACTGTGAACGAACATGTGTCGTCCTTAAATCTGGCAGTCTTTTATCAGCACTGAACACTGACTGGAATTACACTACACATGCTGTTCGTATGGAGACAAAGTCGTGAATGCATAATATATATATGACGTCAGTAGTGATGAAAATGTACTGAGACGACGAGTATTTCTAACTGAAATACTGTCAAAAGCGGTGTGTGTTCAAAGTCCCACAGGGAAAGGACGCCGTATTATAACTGAAATACACTGACCACAACAAAGATAATCCTAACTGACTGACCGGTTAACCGATTGACCGACTGACCATCTCACCCACATACTGACGCACGCACTCACTCTGTACGTTCTATGGGCATTGACATGCTTTGCCAGTGTGAGGAACTCAAGTAAATTCATCTAGAAAGATCGATGATTAATCTATATTAAACCTACTACCCATTATTCGTTCACATTCATTATCCTACGTTTGTTCAGCATTTTCAAATTTAAAGGTAAATGTTCCACTGCAGTCCGAATGGTTGACGTGTCTAAATCCTCCGAAGCAGATAAGAGCTCCTTTATACGAGGTCAGGTTGAAAATCGGACCGGTCTAACCATCGACCAGGGGATGTCTGGAATAATACTCGCAGGAATATTGCAGATGGGATTCCTCAACCGTTTTTTTTTGTAAAACAAGACTTTTATCCTTGTATTTCTGATGGAAATGCTTGAAGTAGCAGTGACATGTTTACATAGATCTCCTAAATGGCGAGCTGTAAAACGTCATTGACATAGGTGAGGAGTGATCTTGTCAAAGGTGAAAAACTGTTGTGACAAGGTCGGCGATGTGTCTGGGCGGATTTGTTATGTATTCCGTTAATCTTGTCATGCCTTCAACATGAATAAATTAATTGGGAGTGAGTGAGTTTAGTTTTACGCCGCCTTTAGCAATATTCCAGCAATATTCATAGCGGGGGACACCATGTACCGGAAAGGGGCTTCACACATTATACTCATGTGGGGAGTCGAACCCGGGCTTTCGGGGTGACGAGCGAACGCTATAACCACTAGGCTACCCCAACGCTCCAGTAAATTAATTGATTCTGGAAAGTATTAGAAAGGATTATGTAAACAGAAACCAAATATGCATTTCAAATGATTCACTATAGGGCGGTGCCTAGTCTTGTGATATCTCAGGACTCGATCAGCTCATTATCATTCTAAATCATCTGAAGATTTACTCTAAAGTAAAGTTCTTACTCTTTAATGGTAGGAACATAAGGGTTCAAGAATTTCAAAGGTTTTGTTTTATAATGCAGCCATTCGTATTGCAATCTGTGTCAGCGATGATTTGTTAGAAAGTATAAGTATAATACTACAATCCTGTTGAGCTCTTATTGTGAGGTTACATTTGCCTACATTAGGTTCACAAATAAACCACATGTAATAATACCAATACCATCTGCAGCTATAAGAGTTGCAGTATTTAATCAGTTAGTATTCGATTACTACTTATCACGAATATATTTCATGTCGAGTTAAAGTGAGAGGACTGGTGGCGAGGCAATTCTCAATTGTGTGAATAGTATCTGAATGACTGTGTTTATAGTCCTGGGCCCCGTTCCACAAAGCGATCGCAGAGCTAAGATGATCGTAACTCCCATACTTTAACATAGACTTAAGACTGTCGTAGCGCTAAGATGATCGTAACTCCCATATTTTAACATAGACTTAAGACTGTCGTAACGCTAAGATGATCGTAACTCCCATACTTTAACATAGACTTAAGACTGTCGTAGCGCTACGATCGCTTTCAGGAACGGGACCCTGATCCCGACCAACTGGTCCATGAGTTATTAGTTTCAATGATGTAGTGGCTAGAGTGTTCGCCCGGAGAGCGGAAGTCCGCGGGATCGATCCCCGGTCGCGTCATACCAAATGACGTTAAAATATCGTACTTGTTGGTCCCTGCCTGGCGCTCGGCATTAATGGGTATAACAAGGCCTGGCCGGCACGGAGTCAGTATAATGTGACTGAGTGGGGTATTCATGCTTCACTGTGGCATGGTATCTCAGTGAACTAGCACTATAAAACTAGCTTAAGTGTGGGCTAGTACAAGCAGGAACATATACACACGCATACACGTCGTCATATGAGCGAAATATTCTTCAGTACGACATTAAACCCCATTTCACCTCACCTCAATGCTGTCTGATAAGCTGGTTGCAAAGATATTTAATTATATTATACTGAAATGCCATTAAACAAAGTATAATAGAAGCAGGTAATTTGTTGCAGTGTGTGAATATCGTTTTACGTAGCAGTCGTCGATTTCTCAGCTGTGTTCATGCAACATTTAACTGACCCGCATAGAATATGTAAGATTGCAAGAGGGAAACCCGTCGGGAGTTGCTGAAAAACAGTTTTGTCTCCCGAGACCTATCTGAACTTCAGTAATTAAAAATAACGCTGTGTCAGCAATATTGCAGCTATTCGCAGCCAGGTATATTTTGAAATTCAGACTAATTTAATGCACAGACTTTACTGAGAGACAGAACCATAATTTGAAACATATTTACAATACCTGTGCGGCTTGCAAATCTTTTTGAATTGTAACAGATGGACGATCCAAGAAAACGGCATTCCTGATCCAGACTTGGAATTGATTTGAGTAATACCTGTTTCCTACAGAGTCGGAACACGGCACGATACATGCTGATGTAATGTCTTATGCTAGCCTAACACACTTGTACACCGATGCTTGACTGTTCTGAATAATGATTGTTCACTCAACACACTGACCTCGATCCGGTGAAGGTCATTCCTCTGCCAGACATACAAAGGTCATGGGTAAACGTTTATACTGAACAGATGTTTTTTCCATTCAAATTGTTCGTGATTTGGGCTGGTAAAGTCCAACTTGCATTCGATCATAAAGGAGGAAAAGCCGTAAAAACGGAGTAACAGAGGTATATTTTGTCAACGGGATGGTCTCATTGACAAAACAGGTGTAAAGTTGTAATGTAATGCTGAAAATGAGATTCCACATCAATCTATTATACAACACTTGTTCCATAATAATAACACTGACAGTCACCTGTTGCCATCAAATGTGGTAGGTATTTAATGTCAACGTTCCGTGACAAAGTAGCGGCTGTGTATACGACTACGCTTGACATTAACCCAGTGACATGCTTGGTGGTTATGCACACAGGGTTTCAGTGTGTTACTTCACGGTGTGTGAACATGCTTTATCTATCGATCTTTGACTTTTACATAAATATATATATCATGCATCTCAAATTTTATTGCTATTCCAAACCAGGCGCCAGATGCCAGATGCCATATGCATTTCATTATATTTCTTTCTACATTATTTGCTTCTCGTCTGGCATGGCGTGTTTAGCAATGTTGGAATGTAACTCACATGTGTGTGAAGGTAATGTCAGGTAGACACAAGGTATCTGTATCATTGATTTGATTCCCAAAACCTGTGTTTGTCCGTCTTGTGTCGGAGCTGGGAAGGTGTTTTTATAACAGCAGGTGTCACGATGGTGTTATGTGTTGATGTTGTTATATACTATAGAGTAAGTGAGTGGATATCGGGTTTCACAGACTCTGGCCCTGGTGGAGCAGTTGGTGATGAGCAATTATTCATATCAGTGGGGATAGCCACACTTAAGCTGTGTCACGTACGGCTGACTTGGGAGACATGGGTCATCTCACCCTTAAGTCACGTTTGGAATTTCAAGTAATCGTTCGCGGCTGTGATATTATATCTATAACCGAGTCTAGATACCTGTGTTAGCTTTGGTTGTCAACACTTAATACTCATCTTCCTCAGCAGCACTGTTACGCGGATAGATGGGTTTGGGCCTGAACAGATTGTTTTCAGTTTTCACGGGTTTGCACCTGATATATATATCATTAATCACATTTACATTGGCAGGTACACAACTGAAATATCAATTTAAAGATGGCCATCATTTTAATGAAAGCATTTACTTTAGCTTTACGCTGCAAGGTATCAGCAGTATTCATGTCAACCAAAAGGAACTATTTAAAATTGTATTTCCATTCCAACTTCGCCATTTATTAGTACTTAAGGGGATGTAACTATTTTTGTCCTTTACCTGTTTTGTACGTAGCGTTTCAGCAATGCCACGTTCCTTTCATTTCGCATTTAGCAAATTTATCTAAAAACTTGACGTAGTTACCAGGATTGAAAACTCAGCCTTGTATCCTCAGCGTGCACCCTTTCCTGCGAAATTGGAAAATGATTTTATGTTTTCAAATGGAAACTGACAATGAGTGAGAGAGTTAAGATTTTACGTCGCATCGGCATTATTACAGCTATATAGGAAATAGGACCGGGCACAGTTTTACATTCTCCCATATTGAAAGGTATGAATGCCATTTGGGTAAACAATTTGCGTCATACTGAAATTCAGAGAATGATGAAACTATGTAAATACTGTACATTTGTATACGGGCCTTTGTCCTACATGCTGAATAAAACACTAAACGTCAGTGAGAGCTCAACACTTCGCATCAGTTCAGATCACGCACAAAACGGTATATCGTAACTAGGACGTAGACTACGTTTGGAATGTCAACCTCAAAGCAGCAGAGAAGCCGAAACCATGCAGGCGCGTAGCAAGCCAGTTGTTTCGTTTAAACCCGATAGCACAGGGGGTAAGCCCTGTCCATGCTCAACCGGAAGTTGGTCGTCATCAACTACCATTTCCTCGATAGACAGTCGATCCCGGTAGAGCTTTTAACACAAGTCGATTTCATAAACATTTACTACTTGGAAATATCAAAATCTTACAAACTGAATGATCATGGATTATATATAGCCCATATATCATTTGGTCATGACATTACATGTTGTATACATTTGAAGCATTTCTTGACACGTCTGTCCGCGCGAATCGGAAAAGATCTACCGGGATCGACTGTCTATCGAGGAAATGGTAGTTGATGACGACCAAATTCCGGCCGAGCATGGACAGGGCTTACCCCCTGTGGATAGGTTGCAAAGATTTATGTTTAGATAGTACTGAGGGCTTGCCCAACCTGAATCCTGCAATCCAAATGTGAATGCTCATTTCCTTGTCTGCCGTTACTGGAATTTGGCTAAAAGCGACGTGAAATCATACTAATAACAACATGTTATAGTAACATGACTTATACCACCGGGTATCCATTTTCTGCTGGGTGAACAGGGTCAATTTTAAACAAACTCACATCTCAAGTGTGAGACCACATATTTCCACATGTGCTTCATTGTAGGGCAGGACAGAAGTCACAGAAACTCCCAGAAACTCAATACCGATGATTTTCGTTTTTCATAATTGTTCCGTTGTGTTCAAAGAAAATGTACAATGACAGTAGTCATATAAATGTGTCCGATCACGACAAGTAAACTGCAAAGCAAAATACTTGATAAATTATCTTATTTCGAAACAAGCCCACAGTGATCCACACGGCACTGTATGTCACTTGTATTTTGCACTGTCCATCAGCAGATCTTGACGACAATTCTCAGAATCTACGTCACCTTCAGATACAAAACGAAACACGAAGCAGCAAATACATTTCCTTACTCATACAAATCTCCACTAAAAACAGAGTCCACAGTATGATTCAGACCGTATCTGTTATTATGTTACTTTCTCCAATTTTGCCTCGTCAGATAGGTGAAAAAGAACATGATAGAAATAGGCAGCATCGGACAATCTGATTAATATTTGAATAATGTGTCCTGCATCGAAATCAGGCAATTACCATAGGAGTATAAATACATGATATTATCAACGAAAATTAAACATTCAACAGGTCTTAGAACAGATGATATTTCAACAGCAATCATGAAGAGTCGGTGGAAAAGTTGACAGGCAAAGTTATAACAGAGATAGAAAGGTGTCAACAAAAGGGAGAAAAAGTGACTGAGACGATATTAGCAACAGTGAAAGAGGGTTGTTGAAAAGGGGCTTGCTTTGACAACAGCGACATGGAGGTTGAGATGATTACATCAATGACAGAACGAAGTTAATGTTAACAACATAGCCCCTGAAAATTGGAATATCTGACCTACCCGTGAAGATCCGGGCTAGGATTGATCTTCAGCAACATATGCTTGTCGTAAGAGGCGACTAACGGGATTGGATAGCACACGCAATCGTCTCCCAATTGCGTAGAATGGTGCTCATGCTGTTGATCACTAGATTGTCTAGTCCAGACTCGATTATTTACATATAGGGGACTATTGTTTAGTGCGGCATTAAACAACAAGCTAAAAATGTATGTTTCCTGAGCTGATACGTTAAAACAATCATTCTCCCAAAAAACATCTCTCAGTTATCACAACAGCTCCGTGTAATGCTCCACTGTTCCTGGTCCTCCTGAAATGTAGGTCCTATTGGTGACACCCAATTATTGTTCAACGGGATATGTTTCAACCTTTTAAAAGGGTATTTCAAATTGTGACTATCAGCAAACTTTGATTATTTTTGGTATGTGCAATGGAAGAAAACCATATATGATCAATGCTTGTTGAGTCTATGACTGGATCTATGATGTTCTTTGCATTATCTTATTGCAATATAATTTGCTAATGCCGCTTGTTTTTCTATATAAAATATTATGTGGATTTTGAACCTGTTTTTGTTTGTTAAAGATTGTGAGTGAACTTAACATTAAATATGCCTTGCATTCGAAACATACATTTAACCCAGAATTATGTTGGCGAAAGAATTCAAACTGAAACCAACAAACAATGAAACGTTGCCAACAAAGTTATACAATTTACTAAGTTAACAAATCAATAGAATTACTGTAAAGGCATTACAATGTCAGTATATAATAGACTGTTGATTTACTATGGTAGTCGGAAATAAAACAGCAACAGTAATAACTATAAAGTCAGTCATGATAAAGTTCGCCAAGCAGCAACTGTGTAACATATGTTAAATTTCGCATTACGCTTTCTCAGTAAAGTACAGAACAGTTCTTTAGGGGTTGAGTGCCGGATTAGAACCTACACTCTCAGAATGAGACATTTATAGCCAGTACTAAAATCAGCTAAGTAACTGAGCCACCTGGGGTTCCAGGAAAATGAATATCTCATAACTGGTACGCTAGATTACATTTCTGTTACAGTACTTCGCCAATAGATATGAATAAACAAAGCCGTTTAGAAATGTTATATATGTGATTAGGTGCCTCACTCAAAGAGCGTAGGTTCGAATGCCGGAAAGACTTTGGCAATTTAACTCTTCTCTTTACCTTTATGAATTTCTTCCTTCCCGATGACTCCTCATGGTGACGCCAGTAATTCGAGTGTAGGTTCGAATCCCGAAGGTATTTCGGCATTTTAACTATTAAATATTTTGGTCGGTTATGAACTTTGTCTTTTCGCAATGCACACACAATATTCACAATTATCAGTACCGCTCATAAAATCATTTGCTATTCCTCTGACGATGAAAAATGAGGAAAATATTAAATGCGAGTTCACATGTGTTGTCTTCACATGATCATTTTTTCCGTCAGAAAGACGCCTAATAACGACACCAATAATTCAAGTGTAGGTTTGAATCTCTGAGGGTCTTTGACACTTCAACTTTTACCTTTTCTGGCTGGTATGGATCGCGGTCTGTCAGCAATAAACACAATATTCACAATTATCAGTACCGCTCACAAAATCATTGGCTATTCTTCTAACGATGATGGAGAATTTTTACGAAAAGCAAATTATATGGAAGTCCACATGGCCATGGCCTACGTGTTTTTTCTTCACAGTATGGATTTCTTACTTTCGGAGTATCATAATTCGTCTGTACAATTCAGTTGTAGGAACCAAAAGTTCAATGTCCCCCTTTATATATAATAAACACTTGTGCCAAGTTTTACTGATCATTTTCTGCGAAAAACATTTCA